ACACTTATTGGAAACGTTATTCTTCCACCATGGGCAGAAGATGAAAAAGATTTTGTTTTTAAAATGCGTGAAGCATTAGAATCGGATCATGTTTCAGAACAGCTGGAACTTAAGAAAGCTATTAGTAAAAACGTTGTACTCTTGTGTGTAAAAGAAATAAATGTCCCAATACTGATCTTTAGAGAAATACACTGAATGACAAAAGCAGTGTTTCTAATGAGAATTTTTTTCAGAGTGAAGAATGTCAAAAACACTCTTTAGTTCCATAACAAGAATATCAAAAACTCGATTCAAATGGCATTTTTTTTCCAGTTCAACTCTAGAGGTACTGCGTTACGAAGTCTCATATGGATCTATTAATTATCTTTTCGACCAGTAAGAATAGTGAAGAGTGAGTAAACGTGGCAAATCCAGAATTATTCTTGAGTACGTGTCATAGGTAGAAAGTGATCTCTTATTGAGACATAGTAATTATAACGCAAGAAAATGAGAAAAAAATTATTCGTGAATTTGTTTTGATGTCAACGTGAGTGAGATTCAAGCTTTCTCACTATGCGTAGAGTAAAATTTGGGTACTTCATGCGGACATTGATACTTTTCTGTGAAAAACGATTATTTTTAGTTTGTTTTGACTCGTCGTTCAAAATGCGTACTTCAATAGAAAAGAAACGATCCAGAAAAAAACGTTTTCGGCCAAAAGTGAGTGACGGAATCTTTACCTGATTTTTAGACTTCGAAACCTTTCTGATTAACTGTTTTGCGTTTGCATCGTTCGATGTAGTTTTAATGAGCTGACTCCGAATTTTTTGTTTTGAAAATGAATACACTTTTGGATATTACGCTAGCCATCAGGCAAAAGCACATATGTTTTCTTTTAGTCGGCAGTGGTCGAACTTGATGAATCAGAATCAATTGATTTTTGAAAAGAATGAAAACGTTGATCTTCAACTTCGAATAAATTCTCAACCTTAAAACTTACTTGCAGTCAGTTTTGAACTCGTTGTCACTATTATTCAATTCATTTTTTACTGATTTTAAATGAAAATTTTTTGTCAACTCGTGAAGAATATTTTAGAAACTTTTACATGAGTTATAACTAAAAAGAGAAAAGTTTAATGAAGTCTCATTTTTTCCCCAAATGTTCGTGAAAAATGTTGTGTCAGAGACTATAAGCAGTTCATTCGATCTTCAATCTTGATTTGAGAATGTTAATATAAGTTTAAAATAGAACAATAAGTTTTTATTTAATACATGAAAAAAGTGTGAGTACCAATTGAAAGCCAACTTCAACAGCTATTTTCTTTCCAATAATAATCGAAATAAAAAGCTTTCTAATTTTAGTTTTCTACTGTTCTATTCGAACATTTGACTAATACTAAAAATAATGTATATTGTACTAACTTGTCTTTTAAAACTATACTTTTTCCTAAAAACGCGGCATTCTCGTCTAAATAAGTATACTAACTCAGTTTTTCATAAATAATGTAAGAATAATTCTTAGCTCAGCTGCAGTTCTTTTCAAGTATGTAGACTCAGTTTCCATAGATTTTATTCGTTGTACTTTTTATCCTTAGATTGTCATTTTGAATGACGTTATTACTTTTCTGATTACATTCTTCATTTTATATTTATTAAAATAGAAGCATATTTTGTGTCACTTTTGTTTTCTAATGTGATTATTTCTTTTTCTGTCCTAGTTCATCTGTTTTATCTGAACGAAAAAAAAAAAGAGCTAAACATATTTTCATCAAACTCTACATTTTTTTGCTGTTTTACCAGCTAGAAGCGTAATTCAACTCCAATCACTAATGTAGGTATTATGCAGCTATTTTATCATCTAGGAATCTATTAATATCGATTATTTAGATGTAAGGTTCTATGGTCAATCATATCTTTTCATTTCGATTTGATAACGGCTGAGCACGTAATTAATGCTAACCTATTATAACAATTAGTTGCAGTTTTTTGCGTCTGTTTTCTTTTACGGCTCAAATTTTTCCAGCATTTTTCTGTAACGATTTTTTCATGGTGTACTTTATCAATTTTAGTCATTGGAAAACTTCTGAAATGTCTATACTTTGACTTATAGAATATCTCCTTTTTGAGGATTAACTGATGTTTTGATCGTTCTGTGGAAGCCTTAAAGTTCATCAAATCTCAGAAAAACATTACAATTTTTTATAAGTGATAATGACTGTGTTGTATTGGTGTAGTATGAATCCTAATAGAAGAGTATATAATATATCGATGTGTCTGAAGTATCAGATGAATCGTCGAGTGAGTTATAATCATTATGTAGCAAAGGATGATATAGTTGCTCATCACACTAATGAAGTTGCATAAAATACTGTGACAATAGTAGAACAACCAGCTAAGAACGATAGCGGTTAACAATGAATTCAGAATATGAGAAACAACTTGAATATATTTTTGATGAAACATCATTGTTCAGTATTCGGAATTGATAAAAAAAACCGTAATATTGAAAAGATTCTTTTCATTTGTCATTTTTATTCATGTTTCTACATAGCATTGTGAGCATCTCATAGTTCATGTGTAGTACAAAGTTTTTTAATAAAGAAATGATATCTGTTGCGTTGCTAATGATGAATAAAATATTTCAGCTTTATTTATTGAAAACAGTCAATTTATTAGACATCGTTACAAATGTATGTCAGCCTTCAAGTATTTTAATTTCTTTCTTACAGGATATCGATGTAATAAAAATGAAATATCATCACTGTATTTAGAACCAGTATAAAATAAAAACTGAAATTTTTAAAATTTTTCATATTTTCATGACAATATAGTTTTAATTTTTCATCATCAAAATGGAAATATTAATTTTAATTGATTTTTTAAATTAATTAGTAATAGTAATTATAGACGGTCTTTACGTTGTTGTTATTTTTCTATTTTGGCGTTATATTTTAAATACGTATGAAAATTATTATATTATGGTAAAATAGTTGTTTTAAATAGTAGAGATAGAGATATTTAAATGATCATGACACATTTTAACAAAGGATACATATTTCGTAACTGTTTGATCAAATTTGCATTGTTCTTCAATATCAACTATAAGAGACTACTTGTTGAGAATAGTTTCATTTTGTGTTTGTTGTAACGAAGATTAAAACGATGGTAAAGAGATTGAATAAGACTAATTATTCAACATCAAGCACCGTCAATTTAAATAATCTCCTATTTTCTAGTGTTTAGAATAAAACATATTGTCTTGAAATATTTATTATATATTGTTTTAGCTGTATACGATGTTTGACATTCTTTTATGTGTGCATCAAAAAAGAAATTGTAATGTTAATGTTGGAAAATCTGTACATATAATACATACTAAAAATTGTCATTTTTTCCCTTGGTCCACTTACGCCATAAAGTATGATTCTACAGGGTGTCCAAAAAATACGTTGACAAAATTAAAGACGAAAAGTTTTTATAAAAAACATTTTGCCAAATTTGACATTTTTTGTAGTATTTTCTCTCGTTTGTCAGATACACTTTAAATTTTTTCGTTAACTCTATTCTACATCATTTTATAGATGAATTCAAACTGCAAAAACGCTACAAAAAATGTCAAAAATGCACGACAGATCTAAACAGAAACACACTTTTTCTGTTTCACTTTTTTGGCAGGCCAAAAAAGCCCTACAAAATGCAGGAAGCCGATCATTGTTGCTCCCCGTCTCCTGGTAACCTTTGATGGCTTTGGAGACGAGTTGCCTCGACAAATTCAACGAGCGCACAATATCAGATTGTCTTCTTCCTTGGAAAAAACGCACAATAACTTCTCAGTTTGAATTCATCTATGAAATGACGTAGAATAGAACTAACGAAAAAATTTAAAGTGTATCTGAAAGAGGAGAGAAAATGCTACAAAAAAATGTCAAATGTAAAAATTTGGCGAAATGTTTTTTTATAAAAACTTTTCATTTTGAATTTTGTCTTATGTACTTTGACATAAGAATTAGAACAGAACATATACAGATTTTTATTATCTTTTGTAGATTTTTACAACAACGTTCATGGCTTCGAGACGAGAATCTTCTAATCGTCAACATAAATTTTCATTATTAAATTTAAGCGCAAATGAAATATATTTTGAAGATTATGCAGTTTATTGTCAAAAACAAAACTTAAAACCATCCAATGATAAATTATTGAAAATTTCTCATGAGACGGTAAATGAATCAAAACAGAAAGGTCGTCTAAAAGTTTGTTCAAAATCATTAGTATTTGTTCCAAATGATATTCGTCAACCAATGATTAGAATGACCTATAAACTAATATCAAAAGTAGAAGATTCAAAAAAAAATGAAATTTTATTATCAAATTCAACAATTATCTCATCACATCAACGACAAAATTGTCTTATTATGGTGTGTTCATCGATCACTCTAATGAATGAATATGGAAGAATCGAACCTTATACTGTACTCTATGATACATACCGTTTTATTATTGAATTTCTTTATACAAATGTTGAAGATTGTATATCAGTTGTCGGACAATTATATCGTTCATCAACATTGACATTTTCTGAACAAACTATGATGATTGAATCGATTATTCAAGGACGTTTAAAAATGTTGAAATTTGATTTAAGTCAACTAGGAGATTTTCGAGAACGAATTGTATTTGAAAATGATGCATATCTCATTCAACCGTTAGTACAAAATCCTGGCAAAATTGTACTCACTGATCAACGACTCTATTTTCATTCATTAAATAATATAGAAGAACAACAAACAAAAAAATATGATTTATCAAATATTGTAAAAGTCACTAAAAGACGTTATAAATTTCGTTCAATTGGAATAGAAATACTTTTTTCTAATAAAAAAACATCGAGGTAAATGAACAAATTTCATTATATTTTTATAAATTCTCCATATTTTAAAATTAGTATGAGTTGTATATTTACAAACATTGAATGACTGTTCGATGAGTAATATTTGAGAGAATTAAAAATATTTAGCTTCTTGTAGAACCATTGTCGTTTGCTGAAACTAATGACTTTTCTTCTTGTATCTTTTAACTATTTATTTTTTACAATTTTTATTAGTGTATCGGAAAATCTCTTAACAATTCAATCGAATACATTATATTTGGTATTTTCAAATGAAAGAACGTGTTTAACGTTTCACGATTTATTATTAAAACAAAATAATATTAAATTAGATGATGTTAGTCAAGATAATATGACATTACGATGGCAATTAGGTAAAATATCAAATTTTGAATATTTATTATATTTAAATGATCAAAGTCAACGTTCATTTAATGATCTAACACAATATCCAATTTTTCCATGGGTTTTGAGTGATTATATTAGTAATGAACTCGATTTATCTAATCCAAAAATATATCGAGATTTACGAAAACCAGTAGGCGCATTAAATCAAGAACGTTTGGATCGTTTAAAAGCTCGATATAATGAGAGTGTAGAATTAGAAGATAGTGAAAGATTTTTATATGGTTCATTCTATAGTAATCCAGGTTTTATTGTTTATTTTCTTGTTCGTTTATATCCCGAATTTCTTTTATGTTTAAATGGTGGACGATTTGATCATAGTGATAGATTATTTCATTCCATTGCTGATACATTTAACAGTTGTTTATCAAGTGATTCAGATGTTAAAGAACTCATACCCCAATTTTACATGTCTAATCGATATAATAATGACGATGACAGTGAGAATGAGGATGGAAGTTTTTTAGTAAATATCTATGATATTGATTTTGGTCGTCGTCATGATAATACACTTATTGGAAACGTTATTCTTCCACCATGGGCAGAAGATGAAAAAGATTTTGTTTTTAAAATGCGTGAAGCATTAGAATCGGATCATGTTTCAGAACAGTTAAATCATTGGATTGATCTTATTTTTGGCTATAAACAACGTGGTGTAGAAGCAATTAGTAATGATAATTTATTTCATTATTTAACGTATGGTGTTTTTGAAAATGGTAAAGATAATGGTGGAGATACGGAAAATATTGAAGATTGGGATAAACGATTAGCATTCGAAACACAAGTACAAGAATTTGGACAAGTACCACAACAGGTATAGTTTGTGTGGGCTTAATTAGATGAACATAAATTAGTTTATTTTCTTTTTTTAGTTGTTTGATAAACCTCATCCAAGAAAATTATCGAAACAAGATCTATTATTATCACGTAATGTATTTGTTGTTAATTGTAGAAGAAGGATTGCAAAGGAACTATGAATTTTCAAAAGAAGATTTTCTTTTGTAATAGTAACTATCTCTTCAGATTAATTTGCTTGTCTAGTAATGTTTATATTAATCAGATATCAAACAATTTAACTGTTGTGATTCTTGTTATATAGTCTTTGAGTGAAAAATATGATGAAGTAAACGAAAAAGAATTAAAGTTTTTATTTATTTATTCTTTCTCTGTTTCTAGGTCAATCAAATCCAATAAATCCATTACATCTCGTTGATGATACAGTTAAATCTACATCTTCTAGTCGTTCAAATACACTATCAGATCCACCACAAATCTTTTCAAATACGTTAGACAATACTAATAATATTGAAAATGATGTTAATTGGGATATGTCTACTATTGTTAACGATCAAAGTAATTCAGGAGAAGAGGAACAAGAAATTGGTCACTTAGAATCCGAATGTGTATGCCGTTTACATAAAAATGCTATTAATCGTATTGTTCAACATTCATCTTTAGCAAATCGTGTTATTTCAATTGCAGATGATGGTTTTCTACGAACATATACGTATGAAACAAATAAATCAGATTATTTTCTTAATATTTGTAAACGTTCATTAACATGTTTATTTGTTATCAATGTTGAAAATGAATTAAAAGAAATAAACTCAATTGCATTTATTGGAAGTTATGATCAATCAATATATATTTATAATTTGACAAACAGTTTACTTCTACATACTCAAAAAATTCATGAAGATGTAATTGTTGATATTTATGTATCAAGTAAAATTAATTCTTTTCCTTGTATGTGGACTGGTTCGTGGGATAGTAGTGTTCGATTATGGTCATTAGACACACTACTTACCATTGATAATGAAAATAATAATTGTAAATTTTTATTAAACAATTATTCAAATCAACGACTTGAATTATCCCATATCTATGAAATATCTCTTGATTCAGCTTGTACATGTTTGAATGTGTTAGAAGTACATGATTTATTAGCTGTTGGTTGTCATGATTCAACAATTCTTTTATGCGATTTAACTACAGGACAAATATTAAAACAATGGAATTCATCTTCCGAAGATTATTCTAAAATAATGTCTATTCAGTTTCATAATGATGGATTATTTTTAGCTTATTTATGTACAACAAAACTAGCTCTTATTGATATTATGACTGGTACAGAAGTATTTGAACATTCATCATCTTCTGTAAAATTTCGATCTCTATTTTATTCAAATAATATACTCATTATTGGTTGTAATGATGGTTCTATAAAATTATTTTCAATGAAATCTTCATCTTTTCTTCCACTTTCACTACACATTTGTGATACGGCTATAACAACAATTGCAAAACATAATCATAATATGGCATCCGATATATACGATAAAATTTATTTCTTTGGCACTGAAGATGGTTCAATACATATGTATTCAATGAGATATGACAATAAAACACATGTATGATTGGGGTCGTCATTATTTGTAAATAAAATTCATTTTTTTCTCTTTGAACTGCTATTTTTTGAACCTTTAGTGTATGAAATATATTCAAATTATTGAATGAACGTTAAATCGATTCTAATACTATGCTGTTTTTGATTTTATTCAATGGAATCATTTAAAATATTAAATGTTTTTCAACTAGTCAGGTGAAAAATGGTGATAAATTTCTTTTCCATTTTATGTACTACTTAAACTGTGTCTCTGTCTGTTTTCTTATTTATTTTTGATCTTTCAATGTTTCAACTTTAACTATTGATCGTATATTTTTGTCTACCGCTATTTATATTTTCTAGTAGAAATCTGTTTAATAAAATCGAAAAAGAATTTCTTCATATTTTGCGATTAGTCGTTTTAATAATTCATCTTGCAAAATAAGTGAATGAAGAATACATTGTTTCTCGGATAATATAACAATAGCGATGATTGTTATTGTTATTTCTTTTTAATTTATTATGCAATAGATCAGTGACGTGCAATGCTTTTAAATTGTTTTTGACATAACTCATTCTAAAAGTTTTCCTTTGTAATAAAAAAATGTTGGATTCTTTACCATTTGTTTGTGTCATCATTATGTGATTTTTTGAAAATTTTTTAAAATAAACAGTATGTTAAACAATGAAACATGATATATGTAACTAAAACACTCATATTTAAATTAAACAAATTTCTAAAATGATTAAACTAAACTTTGTAAATGAACGATTTGAATATTCATAATTTCACTTTTGGCAAACAGTTATTTTTTTTATGTTTTTTTAGGAAAACAATTCATTTTTTCTTCTGTGATTTAGAGATTTTTATGTACCCTTTTCTGACTATTTTTAGACCATTGGTAATACCTTAAATACAGTTTTTTACTTTTTAAAATTAAGATTGAAATTGTTTCTGCCTTTTTTCTCCGTGTTCATAATACAACATACAAATGTCAACTGTTCGTCAATCAATGCGTCTTGCTAAAAAGCGAGCAACTGTTAATAGTGGTGATCGAAAACAATCAAAATTGATTGCAAATCAACAAGAAAAAGAAATTGAACAACATAGTAGTCAACGATCATACAGTAGAAGACGTATAACAGTAAAGAAAGAGAAGAAAAAAGAACATGTTGATGATGAGACAATAGATAAATCAGATTCTATAGTTATTATTAATCGTGCTCCAGTTTTAACTCTTTGGTCAGCCTTAGTAGCAAAAAAACTCTACGATATACGATGGGAGAATGCACTGACTATTGGACGACGATTAGCCGGACTGTTAGCACAATCAAAGGGACGCTCGATTGGAATATTTGAACCAAAAGAACCTATAAATGAAGAAACACAACCAAGAAAGAAAAGGAAACAAAATGATAAAACACTAAAAGTATTGGGTATCAATGTTCCTATTAAAGATACAGTCAATGGTCCAATGGCTGTGAATTATGATAAATTAGTTTCAACTAAACAAGCTGAAACATATATCAGTAATGCCTTCCAAGAACAATTAGATAATACAATACAAGCTATGGAAAAATTGATTGAAGCTTGTTCAAAAAACGGCGATGAACTTCAACGTGATGCCTATCAGTTGTATGAAGAATTTCGTCCAGAGGTGGCTACCGGTAAAAAAGGATGGGGTAAAAAAGGCATATTGGACTTAAATAAAATTATAGACTTAACTCATCGCACAAGAAAATAGAAAACATATGCAAACGAACCTTATTAGTCAGATATTATCAGATGACTACTTTTTCATTCGATTTTTTATATTTTTCTGCGAAAAATGTTCAGATTTTTTTATTGCAATATCATTTGTTCTTTTCACTATACCAAAACATGTTCAGATATGATATATTATTACTTCTCTTACGCTTTATTTTCGATTTTTTTCGATAGACTTTATTATCTTGTTTTTTAGATTTTTGTTTTTAAACTCATGTATTTTGTTAAACAAGAAGACATAAATACTCTTGCATATGGCAAACATAACATTCTCAGCACTGTAGATCACATTAAAAGCAAGGAAAATAAGTAAACATTGATCCTATTACAAAGTCCCTCTTGTTTTGATTTTTCTGTAAATAAATTAATCTCGTCACTTTTAAAGAAGTGAACTGTACAAATGAGCATATCTGACTTTTTGCGTAATTGAAACAATTCTAGAAACCAAAACAATTCTCTTAATCGTCAAAATGAAGCAATTTATCGCCTTTATTCATGCTTTAATGATATTTGAAGAAATCAGTAGCCGATTCCTTACAATTGGAAGCTCACTACTATCCATTTTAAAATAAAATGTGCTCGGTTATATTTTTGAGTAATTCACGATAGAAAAGTAATGAAAACGTGTGATTTTTACCATTTTGCAGTAAAAAGTTGACACTATTTGCAATGTTTGCTTCAAAAAAGAAAACTCTTTGAATATGCATTGGACAGAAAACATCCTAATTCCTACCACAAAAATAAACAAATTATTAATTATATCCTGCTCAAAATCAAATCAAATCACTTGAAAACTTTAGAACACATTAGATGAGTAGATTGCACTGTACTGAAAGAAGAAAGTTTAACTTTTTCTTACGGTAGTTTTCTATAAATTCTTTAAAATCGTAAGGTGAAGAAACAAACTCCCTTACTATTTCTCTAGTTCTGTCAACATGCAATCAAGTAAAACAGTTCTTTGCGAAGTTTTCAAGTGGTTCAGTTGAGTTTTAAATAAGATACGATTGTTGTTATAAGGTTAATATCTTTTGTGGCTAAACGAGACTATTCTCCCCGCAAAGTTCCTATTCACTCGATATTCTCAATCTTTTTTGGAACAAAGATTGCCACGAGATTCAGAATGATCAATAATCTATTTTTTAATGTATTTATGAGATTCTAAAACCTTAAGCCTCCCTCCCCCCTCGGGTCAGAATCCTATCTCAGCTCAAGTAGGTCTGATCTGAACCAAACTTTCAGGGAACGTTGATCATGTCAAAGTGTGGTAACGAATCTTTTTTTGGTATCACTTTGCAACTGTTCGTGGGAAGGCGCCACGACAAGGTCCAAAAATAGGCATCTACTACGTACAAGAATTTTCATTCCAGGTAAATGACAGAGAGCTCGGGCTGTTTTGTTTTACAGTAAACACCTATGGCTAGGAGTTGGCAGAGCCCGATTTTTGAATTTCTCATTTACTGATTTCTGGTGCTTAATAGAACTTCAAAGTCCGAAAAATCCTTGGAAGGTTTCTTAGAAATCCTCATTTCTATAAAAAATGGAAGCATAATTTAAAAATCGGATTCTGTCAACTTCTACCTGTAAGTGTTATCTACAAATCAAAAAAAAATTTCTTTCTGCAATGTACCGTTACCGAGAATTCCTGCACGTGGCGAAAGCCCTGAAGCTAAAAAGCAGTCTTAAGAAAAATGCAAAATAAGTCTCGATTCTGTTAAATGTGGTTTACTTAAAAACTCTTTGAGCGTTAAATAATTTGTTGATATTTTGCTATAGGTTATCGGCCATGGTGGATCTAATGAACATGTGCGACACTTGCCTTCGCTTATGCAATACAAGTGCAACAAAGTCATTTTTTTTCCTATGAGGCTTCTGGAAAAGTCGCCCAAAACCTATGAAAAATCTATCCTATGGACACAGAAATTATACCGTTAGAAAGTAGACACTGTGGGCTATCCAACCATTTGCTTTTCTCAAAGTCGATATTTTTGACGAAAATTGGCATTTCTGACCCAGAGGGGGCCTTACGTCGTGTGATGTAAGGAACCTAAAAAGTGGTACTAGTAAAATCTTTCCTTTTTCAACAGAAAACGTCAGAGATCTCGAACTTTTGTAGATTTGTAGACCAGATATCACTCTATCTAGCCATGTTATTAGCATGAAAGGCTACTAGGCATTCGCTAGGATTTCGTCCGATATTCTTGATTTCACACGAAAATTATTGATATGATTATTACTCGTGGTACTCTCCCCATCCGACGATTGTTTTTTAGAATGCATGACAAATCGGAAGCTCGTGTTGTTTTATCAAAATAACTACAGGTCTTTTCGTATAGGAGATCCATCTATGATAAGCATTGTAACGAATTTTGAACGAATTTTACGTATACTAAAACATAATCTTGCAATCTAGAAATATTTAATCTATTGTATAACAAATTCTTCACTAAAAGTCAACAACTGAAATGATTGAAAAGACAAAATATGAGAGTCAAATATTCGTGTTATTCATCGCATTGCATAAAACATTTCACCGTTCCTTTAAAAGAAAATTTTCTACTATGATCAGCTAAAATATTTTTTACGAACAAAGAAATTGTTAAAATGTTTTTCCATTTAACGCATCAGTGAAAGTACTTAGCGAAAGTGTTTGTCAGTAAGTCATGATCATACACTTTTTTTTCTCCAAGAAAAATGCAGCGGTCATTATCAAAATCAAAAATTTTTAACTACATGAATTTCCTATCTGATTGCATAGACGAAGTTGGGCTAGTTTTATTGAATCTAAACATCTCGTTTGGCAAAGGGCTTTTTCCAAATCTCTCTCTTTTTAAGACGGTTCTTGTCCATATGTCTGTCCATACTTCGTCGTTCTAGCCTAAGTGATCGAGAAAAGAAAATGCCTAAGTGTTTTCTTTCTTTTTTTACTATGTATAATAAAGAATAGTAAAATAATTCGGCTAAATTTAAAACAAGCATATATAGAATAACAAGAACTTCACACGTTCACATAAATGCTTGTATGTATTTTCACGTTTTTATCGTGTCTTCTTTTCTTTCGTATCGATTAGGCTTTCATCTAACAGTTTAACTTTCATGTAGATGTTTTTTCACCAATAATTAAAACAGAATGAATATCGTGGTTGATAGTCCACGAAAACGTCAATTATTATTTAATATAACAAATGTGAAAAAAGGCAAATTAATAAAGAATGTTAATGAAATTGATGAAGATTTATGGGCACTTGATCGAGGTAAGTAGATTTATCATTTGATTTTCCATATTCTATCTCATGTCTGCCTCAGTTTCTGCTTCTTAATAATAAACTAAATGATCGTTCACAAAAATAGAAGACATTATTTTAAATTCTAAAAAGGTTTTCGATGTTTCCTCATATGCTCAGTTTGAATCACATGTCGAAAAACTGTTAATTCATTCAATTAGAGACAATGTTTTCTCTTGATACTAGAGTATAATTTTTGTTTTAGAAAACTGGCCACAAAATGCACCGAAAATTTGTTTGCAAGATACGGATAATGAGGATGAAAATCTTGCATGGTCATCAGAATGTCCCGAATTGTTTCAAACAACAAAATCAAATAGTTTAAAAATGGAAGATATATCCTCTTCAATAAATGTTGCCGATTGTCTTCGACATAGTAGTGCCAATACAAGTTTAAATGAGTCAGCATCGATGGATCTAATCGGTTTTATTAACAAGAGCAGTGAGAATGATATTATTTCAGTTATTGAAAGTACCGGTTTCACACTTGGTAAATAAAATCAAATCGGCAGCATAAGGGAGATAACTGAGTAAATAACCATTCGTCGATTTGTCTGATACATCAACAGTCGTTGTTTTAGTTAAAAACACTTCTGCTGAACTTATCTAAAGTTATATAGTATAACACTATTCTTTTTCTTTTTAAGAACCTGTTGGTTCATGTGATCAGTCATCAGGTTATCATTCCTTTGATACATCATCATTTGGTCAACATCAACGACGTCTTTCTTCTCATCGACGTCCTCTATTAAATCCATCAGCAAAAGAATTTTCATTAGACACCATTTCTGATGATTATTCTTCAAATCAGCACCATCAACATGTACCGTTACTATCATCATTACCACATGTTCCACGTTATCCAACATCATATGAATACAAATTTGGCTCATTAGGACGTGGTGATAATGAATTTTTAGAACCAAATGGTATTTCATTTTTATCCGATGGTAAAATTGTTATTGTCGATACAAATTCCAGTCAAGTGAAAATCTTTGATCCATTACGTCGTGAATGCGTATTCAAATTTGGCGTATCTGGTACTCGAGCTGGTGCAATATTATATCCTTATCGTATTGCTGTTTTACCCGGTGATCAATTAGTGTTAGTTCAACGTTCGCCTCGACCAATGATACAAATATTTGACAAAAATGGACAATTTATACGCCGATTTGGTAATGATTTGGAATCACCACGTGCTGTTTGCATTGATCAACAAGGTCGTATTATCGTAATTGAATCAAAAATTATGAAAATACATATTTATGAATCAACAAGTGGTAAATCAAGCTTCTCTGATTCTTGTGAAAGTATATCCTAGACGAAATCCTACGTACTATCTATTTCGTACTATGATTCCATATGATAATAACATTTAAAACTTCAGAATAACTTCCCAGCAGAATCGTAATTGTTAGAATCCTACTAGGTTGTCGCTTAGGTTCGTTTAAGATCCTGAAAGAATTCTATAGGATTTTGGTAGAATAAAAATTTTTTATTAAATTTTTTAATTATTTTGCTAGAAAAACAAATCTATACGAAATTTTAGTAGTACATCTTTAGTATTCTATCAGGAAATTCATAGGTCTCTTACTAGGGTAACTTCTTGACTTCTCAATTCTTTTCGTGAATTTAAACTAGCATGTATCTAGGATCTAGGTAGAAATTTCCCTGAGAAGTGAGCCGGTGGATCATTAGAAGATGGTATAGACGAAAATCTTCATGTTTCTATTCCCATATCATGACATCTAGTAACGGCATTGTTATATTTGTGCTACAATTAACATTGTTCATTTTAGGTCGTGTATGGGGTGCATGTGATTTAAAAGAACATTTAAGTTTTCCTACAAGTGTTTGTGTTAATGATCGTAATGAATTGTACGTCAGTGATAATGAATCTCATTTTGTACGTGTATTTGATTATAATGGTGTTCATTTAAAAGATATTGGTGGTAACGGTAACATATCGTATCCAATTGCGTGTCGTATTAATCAATCACGCCGTGAACTGATTGTTGTTGATAATCATGAAAATTTTAATATATCACTATATGATTATGATGGAAATAAGAAATATTCCTATTATAGTTTAATGAAACATGCACAATGTTTCGATGTGGCCGTGGGCTATAATGATGAATTAGCAATGGCATCAAAAGATTATAAAATATATGTTTATAAATTGGGCGATTCTAATAATCATTATTACTATTGATCGAAAACCAAAACCGTATACATACTTATTCAGAAAATAGTATAGCCAGTGCAGTGTTTAAAAAATTTTTGTCTCACAAATTTTTTTCTCTTTTTTTCGTTTAACTTCTTTTGTAATTAAAATTAGAATTTTTTACCAATTATTTAATTTTTTTGTGTGCATTTTTCTTCTTCTTCTTGTTAACTGCTTGTTCTTGTCTAAATATTTTGTTCCTCTTAGTTTGTTTGATAGTATTCAAAATACAATCATTTAATTACCAAAGATGTGAGAAGAAACACTCGCAGTGTGTTCAAGCTGATTAAGAGTGACATGTCACTTTTATTTCATTTTCCCTATGTTTTCTGTGTGCTTTTTCTATATCGATAAACCGTGATAAAGAAAGTTTCCAATTTGTTTAGCTGAAGAATGTAGATTAAAATTTATCTGACGGAAAACTATAGTCAAAACTACGTTAGGTCGCCAATCCTGATAAGTACTTTCGACTGCTACAATTTTTTACATAGAACTTTCCCTCTGATTTATGGCATAGTGAATGATCGAATTATGGTTTCGTCTCCTCCCCTAAAATCTCGATATAAACTAAAATTAAAAAGGTCTCTCAGAATCTAAAAGGAGTAGATGTACTCAGAAAACGTTTTTTTCCATTGTAGAGAACCCGTTTGTTCATAACATTCTCCTTGGCTAATTCAAACGACTAGTAACAATACGTTCTTCGAATCTATTCTGACTAACATAAAGTTTTCCATTTTTATTTGTTTACTTGCTCCCGATAAACTTTTTGTTTAAAAGTCTTAATTTTTTGATATTACAATATTTCAAATTTGCGTATACAAGAATTGGGCTTAAGGATGAAAGTCATGTGCTTTTGTCGTACAACACATTTTAATTATTTTTCGCAGTCCCTTCGCACTCAGTCAATGGGACGGCACTTAGGTACTGAAAGTGGCTGACTTCCACATTCGAATGCGCACACTTAAAGTGGTTAAATTTTTTATTCTCGCATAGAATATTGTCAGGGTTTCCATATCTCATATCAATTCAGACGTGAAATTTTAAAACCTTATTCTGCCAAAGCTGATCGCAGGTTCGGACTCTCTATAATTGGTTACCTTGTACATAACAAGTTTTGAATCGGGGTACTCTAGAAAAATTTCTTACTTCCATTTAGCCCTTGGTCCCCTCCAGAAACTTCGTAAAAACTTTTTTTGTAAACAACGGGGAAAATTTTTTCCGGAGTGCCCCGATTCAAAACTTGTTGTGTACAAGGTAATCGGCCATGGAGAGTCCAAATCGCCGATCAGTTTTGGTCAAACAAGCTTTTAAAATTTCACGGATGAATTATTGATATGTTTTACTTTCACTATACAATCGTAGCGAACTTCCGCTATTTTAACTTCATAACGTTTTTGATATTTCTACATTTTCGCTGGAAGAAAACTTGCTCAACCTTTCCAAACAAAGAAAACGGTCGAGTGTATCAAAAGCAAGCAAAATAAAAAGTGCTGTCTAAAGCGCTTTCAGTATCGTATACTAACGACATCTTTTGCACTTTTGAAAATAGAACATTTATGCTTCTTCATAATACAATTAGTACTTTATTCAACAGTGCTGGAAAAACTGCCTAAATATCTTTCTCGTACTCATTTTACGTCAAAGAGCAAACTTGAATAAAAATTGTCCACATAAAAGTGCTATTTCAATGGCGATTTTGTCAACGACGATCGATAATGGGTCATTTGTAGCTGATTTAGAGTAGAGAGAATCTTCCAGTAAATTGTGCACTAACATTTCGTGATAGATTAACCCTGCAGAAGAAATGCTGCAATTTGATTAATCAAAACACAATAGAGAATTTTTTTGATCAGGACACTCTACATTAAAAACTAGAGATAAATTGTTATATTTAACATAAAAAAACAAAAAAATTGCGTTTTTGTATCTTGATTGAATTATTTTGACCTACTATCTTCATCTCAGTGGTTCTAGATTATGGTAACCTTGGAGTAAACATCCATATCGATATTTCCGACAAATTTTAACGAAAAATCGATAACATATCCTTTTTCAAATATTGATTTGCACCTATACTAGTTTTTACTCTTTTTCTTTCTGTTTGCTATATTATTTCTTTCTTAGCGGACCTGCCTGTCTCGCAAAAAAAAAGAAATAATAAAAGTGTGTTTTTTCGTCTGTTCTTCTTTTTTTTTAGCTTCACTAGCAATAGTGAATATTATTTTGCACCAGTATAAGAATATAGAGAATATCTGTCAAAGAACAGCTGATTTTTTTTCTTTACTCTGTTCTCTGTTGCAGAGTTGCTTTGACGCGACTTTCTTTCTGTTTTTCTTTTTGTTATGGAAACAACAATATGTTGCGAGAAAAAAAAAAGGCAGCCATCGATAATATTCACTACACAAGATCTCACACTTTTTTCAAGGTTTTCGTGCTATACAAGTGTCATAGTAACATACGTAAGATGAACACTACTTGTACTTAGATAATTCATATGTTTATAACTGGAAACTATTTTAATTATTTCACCTTGAACAATATTCGATTTCTATTTTTTCTCTGTTCTCTTGTGTGATTGCATAAATATGTTGAAATTTTTCCCTGCTTTTTTTGTTGTTTTCTGTTTTGATATTATGTTAGGGAAACGAACACCTATTAAAACTCTTCATGTCTCATTTTTCTTTGAAATGTTATTGATTTATTTTAGATCTAATAACAGAAAGGAAAAATAAAGAGTCACACATATTCAGTTTTTTCCTTTGTTTTCATCTTCTGATGTTCAATTGAAAATGGTTACTATGCAATCATCAACAATGGTAAGAGGAAGGATGACTTACTGTTCTTAAGAAAACGATATCACATCCTTTAAAAATTATCACAACTACATATTATATTTAGATCGACGATAATTCATTACGTGCCTATTTACGACAGAGTCTTGCTTGGGATTTAGATGAAAGTGGTCCATCAAACACTACAATAACAACAAATTCATCCGCTGGAATACCGGACTGTTTTTTAAGTTCGAGTATGATAAATAGTGATAAATTATTAGATAGCTCCGTTAACTTTCCTCGTGAAATGAGGTAGGTAAAAATATTCATTTCTCGTCGTGTGCTAATTTATATATTTTTAGAACGGCTAATCTAAACCAAATGGTGTCAAGTATCATTGATGAAAATCCAGAATATCGCAGTGCATTAATGCAGCAACAAGCGCAACACAATGCAACAGTAATTGATGCTGCTCAATATATGCATAATATGAAAAGGTTTGTGCTCTTTTATCAAAGAATATTCTTAAGAGTAATGCGTACTTCAGAAGAACCTGGTAAACTCTGTAACTATTGATGATGCTTATCCTAAAAAGAGTAATTGAAGCAGAATAGCATAATCAACTACTATTGTTTACAGTTACATTAGTTACGAGTTTATCTTTGAATTTTTACAACCTTTCATCCGTTCGCAATGCGTCTGTGTTAGTGTCATCTATCGGTCTTTTGCTATTCTAGTGCACCACGAACAACAAAAACATTTGGTTTACTATCGGAAAGCGGGCATCCAAGAAATTTTTCAGGTAAGTAACTAATTCTTGTTTAATTCGCAGTGTTACGTTGCGTTACTTTAGATTCATCAATGCCAGGTGTAGCTCCACCAAAAGTGATTCAGGTATTACTACGAAAACCAGATCGTACAGGTGCAAATGGTGCTGTTATCAATATGTCATTGCAACAGTTTCGTCATTTACTTGGTTTACAACGAAGTTCCGGTTCCGGAAATAGTTTAGATAATAATCCTCGTTCATTTCGTAATGAAGGTCGTCGAGTTGGCCAAACAGCGAATAATAATGGCATCAGCAACAATTACAATAATACGCCATCTTGTTCATCTTCAAATTCATCGTCTTCATCCACAACACCATCGTCGCAAACGGTAGCCGCTGTTTTACGCTTTTCAAATGCCACAGCTTTTAAAAACCAAGATAATAGAAAAGTTCAGCAACAACAACAAAATCAATGGACACATGAACAACAGCAGACTGTTTATTCGCAACAGTTTCCCCAACAACATCAGCCTAATGCAGTATCACAACCATCAATGCTATACCGACCACAAAGTAATAGCAACCATAGTCAACCACAACAATTTTTTCGTGATAGACAACAATCAACAAATACGAATCGTGTGGCATCTCCATCGCCAATGAATTTCAATCAATTTGGTCAACCACAATACGATTGTTCAACAATGACAGGTCGAATACCAACAATATATAATAATTCAAGCGATGTCGCTGTTTCACCAGTTGCAACATGTCATGAAATAAGGTAGATGATGGTTCTCATTTGTAGCATGATCAAAAGGATGACTTACGGTTATTTTTATTCTTGCATGTGACATGTGAGAAATATTTTTTGTTTTCAGCTGTTTTCGATCGAACAGGTACACTAAACATTTTGAGTCCATTTGTTGTTGTTGTTTTCGACTCACATGCACATACAATCTGTTTCACGTGCGTCTTTCTTTAAATCAGGGTTGCCAACTCTTCCGATTTTTACTATATTTTTTCTTACGACTCTTTCGGAGTTTTAGTGGTTTCATCTTAATCTATCCTAGTTCTTGCGGTTGGCAATCCTGTTTTCAATATGCACAATAACTAACTTGACATCGCAATTGGTAGTGCTTTATTTCAGTGTTATGCTCGCTTTTTTATCTTTGGCGGAGCTTGGATGTGCTTCTTTTTGTTTTATTTTATATAAATTTTATACTCATTTATACTTCGCTTTTTTTTATAGACGAACCGGAGCAGCGAACACATTACATATAGCTATCGAAAAGTGTTATGAACAATTGAATTATATACGAGATAGCTATGCTGAGGTAAGAGCTCTAGCTTTTGTACATGTTCTGGATCGGCATACATTCTTTCTATAGAAAAGTTCACGCATGTGACGTTTTGAACCCAGCCTTGGTTAGAAGAGACACGCGTGCTACTGACGCAGAATTATGAATCAGCATATTTTTTGCACATTGATAAGTATCTTCCTGTCACATTAGAAATAACTTATTGGGTGGCACCTAGTGTAAAACTTTTTAGCAGACAAAAACTGTGCACTTTTCGATCATTCAGTTGACAGAAATATTTTTAGACCGAATCAAAAATTGGTGTTCAAATTGCTTATAAATCACCATCAATTGTTGATATTACGAATATAACAATGCCGTCATTATCAAATAATCCATCTCGAGTTGATCGATTAGTGGCTGAATATATCTACGAACATTCAAGAGTAAGTAGAAAGAAGAAAACATGATAAATTGTAGAAAAAATTATTTTTTCGATGAATTAGGTTGTTCGACTTCACGAACGTGTCAAACAATTATTGGGTATGCAAGATATTGAATCAACAGAGCCAGCGATTGAAGAATGGTTGAATGCTATTAACGTGGTACAAGAAAGACGTAAACAAGAAATCGATAATGCGGCTGAAAAATGTCGTACTGGTGAACCTAGAGTTCCAGATGAAAGAGGTATTTTTTTTTAATTAATTATAACTAATTTATAATTCTTGTCCATTTTTGTAGATGTTTTGGCACTTGCTGAAGCATTGCGTGTTTTACGTATAACGACAAGAAAAATTCGCACAGCGTTATGGTATTGGCTTTATTGGGCAACAAATAATTCGACAACAAAAGTTACACTAGTAGCACGTCAACAAGAAGCATCTCAAACTGAATCAGCATTTAATCATCACTTACCAAACTGTCCATTACATTCCTCAAATATCTATGATCAACATCATTCACCAAAAACACAATTAATGGCGCGTCAGGTAACGATTTTGAGAAAGATTTTTACCTCATAAGCGGTATCATCTAAATATTTCAAAGTCTTTTCCGTTTTAGGATGATCAAATAAATTCTCCTCATACATTTTATGATCTATCACCCCAATCATGCGTTGTTCCACAGCAAAATGGTTTTTATTCTCAATTAATTAAAAATCATCAGACACAATCTTTATTACATGATGTTAATGAATTTAATAAAAATTTTATGATTGGTAATAATAATGGTTCAATGAATGGTTACTATGGTGATAATAATGACGAATATGATGACGATGATGATGATAATAATAATGATACTAATTTGAAAGTAGAAGATGATAATGTTATCTTTAATTCATTTTTACCAGATGATCAAAGTATTGTACCATCGACATCAAGAATTACACCAAATGATACAGAAGGCGAAACAAATGTATTTAATCCTGAAGAAAAAAAAACAATATTAAAACGAATTAAAGGAGCACAAGTAGCAAACGAAAATAATAAAGAAAATGAATGTAACGAATGAATACAAAAAAGGTGTTTTTTTTTCTCCCTCTATCTCGTATTCTATAAGATAGTTTGTTGTTTTGACGATCTTTTTTTCTTGATTTTTGTTGTTAGAAAACACAAATTTTCATTATTACCTCTATTTTTTTTGTTTGTTTTTTGTGAAATGCAAAACAAATCTCTTTTTTTCTCATATTTTTTGCTTAATGAATTTTTATCTACAAAGGTGTGGACAAGTGCATCTAAGCAAAAGTTTTCTTCGCTTCACTTTTTGTGTTCTCAACTAGTTCTCTGTTATGAAAATTATTTATTATTATTTTTTTTTTTTTGCTTTGAAGAAATGATCAAATTGATAGCGAAAGAAACCGTCCAATGTTTCTTTTTCTTTGAAACAAACATGCATTTTTTTTTTTTTAGTTGTTGCTCCTGCTTGAAGCAGAACTGTGTGTTAGTGTGTATTCTCTTTTCACTGTTGGCTCTTATTGTGTCGAGCAAAATGCAATTAAAAAAAAAATAAAACGTCCATTTTCTTTTTGTGTATACACACGCTAGAATTCTCGTTCTAATGTGATTTTCTACACTGATATCGACGTGTAGACACATTGATAATCAATTAATCATTGTAGATACTTTCGTTAATTTTGTGATAGGAACAGTTTGTATAATGCGTTTAATAAATAGTGTAGTGTGCTATATTTTGTTTGGTTTTTTTTGTTTTTTCGTTCATATTTTACTCACTTAGAACGTGTAGACGTTCAGATGTTTTTTTTTCCATATTATTGAAATGATTGCGCACAGTTCTCTTAGCCCAGTAAATAGAAACCGTTGAGAAATTAGTAGCGCGCACTCAAAATTTTCCAAAATTAGATTTGTTTCAAGCAGCCATTACAAAAGTTACCAAGCCAATTTCCGGTGAGGATAGTCTCTATTTTGCCTTGTAAGAAAATAATTTTTTTTTTGTGCGTTCTTAGTGGATTTGGATCTGTGTTGGTTTTGTTTTCTTTTTTTGTCACAAGTTTTTTCGTTGCTCAACAAAGAACAAAACGTAAATGATCAATTGTGTAAATAATATGTTGATTATTTTCTTGCTTCTTTTTTTATTGTCAATGTGTTAAAAAAACATAGATCTTTTTCTTTTTTGCGTTTTTCTTCTTAATTCTTATGTTTTTATTTGATCTGTTTTGTTCGTTTGTTTTTCTGTATTAGTCTGGTTATTCTTTTTCTTGTTTTTGTCGACGATGCAAATGAAAAACATGTGTAGTTGGTTTGTGCGTTTTATCCATGTGTTCGTGTATTTTCAAATTCAGATTTTTGTTAATAGAGAATAATCAAATAAAACTCATGATGAGCTCGAAAATGATATTGACTTAATTAATTTCTAGTGGCCGATAGAACCTATCTGATTTGATTATGATTAGAAGTAACGCAAATTTTAACTTTTTACTAAAAGACTAATTGTATTAATTTTACTTTCAATTTAAAGATCCATTCTACTGAAAGAGAATGTTATGAGTGTATTTTAGATAAGCACTATAATGTTTCATGAAGAGTATGTAAATTATGTTGTCTCAGGTCAACAATAAGAATATTTTTCTTTGTTACAAGTAACTAGAAAAGAAAGAAAAAGCAGTAACAGATGTAAAAAATATTAATATATCAACGTCAGAATACAGTTTTACAAAAATTGTATACATAAACGAGAACTACTATTTTATCAAGGTATCTCTTTGAATATTTTTATTTTTATTTTACTTTATCTTACTCAATAAGTTGATTATTTTCGACTGCTTTAATTGTATTTTCTCATAAAAAAAAGCAAACAACTAATATGTTTGGACAGTGTACAATATTTACTATACAAAAGATAAGTACTTTCAAAGTTCCATAAATAACTAAGATTTATAGAGTATCATCTGTTAAGAGGGATGGTCTCTCAATTTAGATTTTTCTCAAACTTTTCCAGTTTGTAGAGAATACTATAAAGTTGATGTCCTGAAGTTTTTCCAGCTTATGGATTTTGGGAAAAAAATTAATTATTTAAAATTACCTAAATTTTCTCCTTGATATAAGAAAAACTAGACTCGGTGAGTAGCCAAAAATGGATTCTAAAAGTTTTTAGGTAGCCTATCTTTTAGATCGTGAAATAGGTCCGTGAAGAAGAAGAAAATTTAATAACATTTGTTTAAGTAATTAATTCTTTTTCCAATGAAATAATGTTCATAACCTAGAAAAACTTGGATATATTACTTTGTGGTATCCTCTACAAGCTGGGAAAGTTTGAGTAAAAAATTAAAAACCTTCTTCAAGACTTGAAACGTTTGCTGATTTTTGACCGACGAAATTTCAAAAACCGTAAAATTTAATTCAAAAATAAAAATGATTTTGAGAAAAGCTTTCCTGAAGATCGATTCTGAACAACTTTTATATCCAGAGATTCGCTCTAAAATGTTTGTGTAGCCGTGAGACTTTTTTCAAAATACTTTAGCGCTAAAATTCCGTCGGAAAGATAAAAGTTTAATTTCTGCCTCAAATTTCATTCGGAAACGATGACAATTTTTTTTTCGTATACAATTTCATGTACTCTATCGAACTATGCTACGATAAACTCTGCATATCAAAAACTGAATTGAATTTTAAACATGGCTAAAAAACCTGAAAAACAAAAAAATTTTAATTAAAAACTACAAGGAACCGAAAAGATTTTAATACATATACTCTGAAGTATCCTGGTAAAATAAATCAGGTGAGAGAAGCTCCCATAACATGAGGTTAGATAATAATGAGCTCAAAATCATCTGATGGAGAAAAGAAGATCTTCTAGACTTAATTAACTACAAATTATACATTAAAAATCCATGTATTTGAATGAACCATCTCGTTTAATCCGAACGATACAAGTAAAGCGTTTCTTTTTCATGCATATAGTAGAGTACTCTCTATCGAATGCAAAAGCAATCACTTGAACATTGCGAGAACTAGCCAAGATAATACCAAATTATTAGACATGTGTTCTGTTCAAACGTTAGCGGGTGGAAAAAATGTTCGATCTATCATCATGTTCGATAGTAAGTGTCCCGGCCCAAAACCACTGAAAAATGGCAAAAATACGGTAAGAACTTCCTGGTAAATCAGAGTACTCTATCCATCTGTAGAGTCCTGCAAGTTAATCCTAACCTAACCTATAGGTTAGGCTAGATTTAGGTTATGAAATAGGTTTTATAGGTTAGGTTGTAGGTTACGCCATTGATAACCTATTTTTAACCTAAACGAAAAAAACGATTTTGAACGACCACAGTAAAACAGTCAATACTTTGAATAATAAAGCGTAATCCGAGTGGAATTTTATCCATTGAAGATAAAGTTCAGACTGAGGTTCTCTAGTTTAAACTGAACTATTTTTATAATATTGCATTTTTATATACAATCAAAAAAAGGAAGTATAGGGAAAAAACGTACGTTTGCTAAAAATAAATGGCGAATTCACAACAATAACAGTAATAATTAACACATATATTATAAGAATTACTTTATGGTTTGAAGTAATTTAGTGACAGGAAAATAAATGATCCTTAAATAAATGTAGTACTGATGCCGTTTATAAAATTTTGTAAAAAAGATAATAGAAATGAAAAACTGGAATCAATTGGGCATAAATTAAATGTGTAGAATCGATCTTAGAAAATGTTTTCTATCTATGGCTGGTGTATAATAGCATGAAGAAAGATTTATTGTTTTGTATTCGCCATACGATGAACTCTAGTAACTTTTGTAAGTTTTGTACCAATTTCTATATCGGGATGTACCATTGCTTTGGCGTATCCGCGTAGATGTAAGGTCAGTTATCTGTCTAACACGGTCTCTTATTAGAGATGGAAGACGAGTTATTGTTGTTTTCGTTTGTTGTGAATAGGGCGTCTGTAGAAAAGATTATGAACGTTGTTTTGCTTCCACTTGATATGTACATAATGGATATTTACGAGATTTTGAACATTGAGAGGGTATTGATAACTCATTCTTAGACCGTTCCGTACATTTTTTATATACTGTGTTTTCTTCTTTAGAAGTTTCAAGTTCACTCTCATTTTTACAAGTGTAAATATCTAACTAAACTTTACGAGAAATTTCGCTACAAAACTATACACTAAGATTACGACGTTAAAAGACAGTTAGAAATATTTATATAGTACATAGTGCTTTAGAAACAGAGAGTCAAGTTTTATTCCACAAAGCACATTTGATTTCATGTATAAATTAGAAACAGCCTTCTTTGGCTAAAAGAAACGAAACCAACAAACATTTTTCGAGATCAACTTAGCACTTTTGATTCACGAACTAATGATCCCGGTTTTTTTGCTTAACAGTGCAAAATTGGACTCAAAAAAGTGGTGACTTGCTGATCCTTGACACGACCAGTAGTACCCATTTTAAAATTATTTCATTCCCAAAAGAGTGGAGTATTCGGTCAGTAAGACACTTTTATTTTTTAAACTCTTTTCAAAACAAATCACTAAAGTTTTTCTTCATTTCTCTTTCCACCACTAAGCTAGCTCACGAGGGAACCTTCCGAGATGCCCACTTCCGATTCAAATGCTTTGTACATGGATCGATACACTTCAGTGAGGTAGTAAATACCCTAAAAGAATTCGGGTCCATGACTCTTGAAGACCCGTTTTTCTGGAAAATCAGTTTTTTAGAAACTCTAAACAATAATCAAAACTCTATATGACCTTTCTTTCCAAAGTTATAGAATTTACAAGAAAAGCCCTCAATGTTCATTGTCAGCTCAAAGCTACAGAAATAAGAAGAAATTAATTCAAGGCTTTGCTTGTAAATTCTATAACTTTGGAAAGAAAGGTCGTGTAGAGCTGGGAGACGTCTCATTTTAATCAGAAATTTGCCAAAAATGACCGTATGTCACCTTTAATCTAGAGATCTGCAAGTCGACCGTGCCCAAGCAAACATCATTTATGGAAAAAATCTAGATACATTTTTTCTGTAATCAGGCGATACATGACTAGTTGTCATCTAGATTGGCAGGACTAGACCATAAAATGTATAGGGCAGAACAGGTTTAGGTCATGGAAACCTTTATAGGGCAGGGCTCAGGACACAAAAATCAGCTGGCCTGCACGCCTGTGCTTTAATTTGGTGTTTTCCTAGCGCTTGAATGGTTCGTTCCGGGAAAAAGGAACAACATTTCATGGAACTCAGAAAGTTGTACATAAAAAAGTAATTTTTTTTCCTAGTTCCAGCCCTAAAGCTAGCCAAATAAGGACAGACGATCGGAAAATCCTAAGAAAACCAATCATCATCATTTTTTCAAATTGCTTGCCAAACAGTCAAACAGCTATGGATCATAGACTTATTTATAGTCAGAATGAAGTCTGATTTATGCTCTTTTTACTGATGCAAGAGTCAAATCTAAAACTTACTTGGGTTTTGATTTATCGGTTCTGAAAGGTGCTGTGGGAAGGTTCTAAAAACTCCAAACTTTGAGCTCGATTTTGTCCAAAATTTCTCGTCAGAATTCTTTCAAACATCGTTTCACGACGACATCTCGCATAGTACTACTAGTGTTCCAGGTTTCAAAGCTTTCATGCTCGAGCTTAGTAAGGTACCGATAGTGGAATTCCGATATTTACGAAGATATTCTATTTTTATTAATTTGCTTGCCTTGACGTACTGCTCGAAAGGTGTCGACATCTAGAGTCGAATAATTTCAAAAGGGAGTGTTACGAGGCGACCAAAAACGTAGTTCTACTGTCATGTTACAAACAAAATCAATTTGATGATCAAATCAGTAAAATAAATTAGAAAAGAAAAAAATTTATAGATTACAAAAGAATTACGTCTTACCTTAGAAGGAAAAATTAACAAAGTCTTGTTCGGTCAGTTAGAATAAAAAGAAAAAGAGAACTATCCTCATGATATACGGGAAACGATGCCTTTGAATACGCAATACTCTAGGAGTGTCAGAAACTTTATGGCGACGGATGACGAATAGTTAGTAAAGAAAAGATGACTGTCATTATTGAACACAATTTAAGTGTTCTCAAAAAAATCATATACGGTATTACGATTTAAACGTGCTTAGATTCTCTTATACTCTCTTAATTTTAAATTGGGAAAGCTCGTGCCCGTGATCGTCAATTCATAAAATTACTGATAACCATGCTGCTTTAGATGTAATGTAATATGGCTATTGCAGAACAAATACCATTAGATGAACAACAACATCCAAGTAATGAGAGCAGTAGTATAGATATCGGTGAAAATGAAACTGCTGTTAATTCCCGAGCTCAATCGAATTATAGCATTCGGCGTGTTAAAAATATAATTGCCCCCGGAAAATACGGTGAAACACGTGCTCAATATCTATGGAGACTATTGCGCTGTTCGATTCGTCGAACAATCGATGTTGTTGCCAAAGCAGATGAATCGGGTTAGTATTGTTAAAATGATATAGTAATCGTGTTTTACTGTCTAAGAATTAAAAGGGACAGAAAAGAATAATATGTCGCCGTCGAAAATTGTATTCAAACGGAAGAATTAATTGAATGTGTTTGAAACGCAAATCATTAGAAAATGTCCTAAAGGCTCATAGTAATACTGCTCTACAGCTATCAAGACAACTTGTTTTGAAAAATATCAAACAAGATACATATGATCATCATAAACTTATAAAATCGGATAAAAATATTACTCTTGGCTTTCGCTTAGATATTGAACGTTCTCATGGTGTACATTTTTTGCGGAACATCAATCATGAAATATATGTTAAATGGAGTACATACAACATCAGTCGAAAAGTAAGTCTCCAAATATCAGAGAAAAAAAGAGTCTGATCAACTGATATTATTGTGTTTGTCGTAGGAGATAATTAGCATTGATGCACAGTTACCTCCCGTGGCTCGTATTTATCATTCAGATGGACGTTTTATTCGTTCAAAAAAACTTGAAATTAATTTTGATTATATGATATATTGTGTAAATGAAGATGAATTTATTGCATGGACAAAATGGAAACGAGAAATACATGTTATTGCTGCTGATTTAGAAATACTCTCAACGTCAACATGTGATTATGATATAGGAGATTTGGGTTATAATGAAAAAACATCTGAAGTTTCTAGTTGTGGTAAAGGAGGTGTAACGGTAAGTGTTCGTTTACAAATAGATTTGAAAAAAGACTAATGTTACAAGAATATTTGTTAGATTTGGCAATTTCGATACAATAGAAAACATTTATTACCGAAAACGCATTGTCACGAAGGTTTTAAGACTGATTTACAATTTGATATAATAGCAATTGAACAGAGTAATGCAGCTGTTCAGCGAATATTTGTTACATCTGGCTACGATATTTTGGTATATTTCTTTGTTTGCTTTGTCTATCAACATGTACAATATGCACAATAATAACAACTTAAATTATTTTTAAGGTGTTTAATGGAGCTTTTGATGGTCGCTTATATTCTTCTAAGAGTGATTTACATGTTCGACCAATTGTAGCCATGATCTTTGTTGAAAGTCGAGATGTTTTAGTAACAGCAGGAAGAGACGGATCAAGTATGTCAAGAAAAAAAAAGAAACAGAGTAAATTAAGATGTTGATTTGTTAATTTTTAGTTAAAGTATGGGACAATCGATGGTTCATAATTCATGCCTATGTTGGTCATCATGACCGAATACTCTCTTTAGCAAAACATCCATTTGGAACTCATGTTCTATCGAGTTCGAACGATAAAACAATACGTGTTTGGTCTCTCGAATATGGAGATGTTGTAGATGTGTAAATAAATGAATCTTACGTATGTTTTTCATTCTCTGTATGTTTTTATATTTCAAGTGTCAATGTACAAGAGCCTATTGTTCACATGAATACAGCACAAAACTATGAAAAATTTATTGTAATGTCGACGAAATGTTTACAACTTTGGTGTATTAAGCATTATTGTGATTTTCTAACATTTATTGGGTAATTTAAAAGAAGAATTTAATCTTGAAACTGTTTTCTAATAAATTGTCTCTAGTACAGATCACCAGTACTCAAAATCAGTCGTACAACACATCCTGATTATCCTTGTCGATCAGTATTATTATGTAAAGATTCAATAGTCAGAATTTTATCATGTTCAAATGGAAATGTGTTGACTAGTTGTCTATGTGATATGCATTTCAAACCACCATTAATCAGTTGCGCCTATGCAATTGCTGAAAGTAATAAAGTATATCCTTTAGTAGGTGAATAGACATCTTTTTTCTATTGTTTTTTTATTCTATAATTTTAGATATACTTTTTGCAACAAATGGAAACATATTAATCAAAGTTAATACAGCATTGAATCCATCGAAACTCATTGATCGCTTTCAAATACCAGAACAATGTAAGAAACGTTTTTTTACACTAGTTATTTAATGATTACTAAAACCATTTTATTTTCATAATATTAATATGTTTGTTTATATAATAGATTCAATAAATTGTTTAATTATTTATGAATATGTTGCAAAAAGTACTATGGATGAAACACCAATGTTAAAATCACTTGTAACAAAACCTAGTAAAGATCTGACGCATTTATCATTGAAAGGCTTTAGTCGAACATTACTTGTGGCAGGTTTATCGAATGGATTCATAGCCGTTATGAATTGGTCTACAGGTGAAATTGATTTTTCTCTCGATGTACGTAAAAGTTGTGTCCCTATTCATTTATTGTTTTATTTCGTTTGTGTGTGTGTTAAAACGTGTTTAGATGCATTCAAGTCGACCTGTAGTCGATTTAATTTCTCATATGGATGCTGATCAAATTATATCGTGTGGTGCAGGTACATAGATTGTAACATTTTTGTGAAACTCTCTCACTATCTTGGAAGAAAAGGGAATAACAGTTTTATACCCCAAAACCGCTGGTTTTCTGGATAAATTTGACCCCCCTCCAACTCTAGAGGATACGCCCTCTTAAAATGGTAGTTAAAACCTCTTAAAAAGGCGTACACAACCTCTTAACGTGACTAGACGTCTCAGTATTGGGAGTTCCATCTTTTAGCACCTTTAGATGCTACCCTGCCACAGTTTTTTATATGAATAAGTAAAAAGTTAATTATAATTTTAGATTTAATTATTCGTATATGGCGTGTATTTCCATATGCTATAGAATCATTATCCGTTGTACGAACAATATTTTGTGCATTACCACCAATTCATTTATCAATTGTTAGAAATTGTTTAGCTGTTGCATTTAGAGAAGATTCAACATTGACACATTCACTGATGATTTATAATCTGGATAATAATGGTGTGAGTGTGTCATAATAGTTATTTAACAGAAAATTTAGCCAATGTTATTCGATTGTTTTCATAGAACGTTTTGATCATGCTCCTGACAGTGATCATGGTGATATGATTACTGCCGTTACTGGTTGTTCAAAATTAAAATTAATTGCAACAGGAAGTCTAGATGGAACAGTTAGAATATGGAATGGAAAAAATCAATTATTACGGTAAAATATAGGATGTTATCTATAGCAGATATAAGAAAAATAAAAATAAAAAATATTCTGTGTTACAGAATGGTTATCATTCATGATACTATTAATTCATTACAATTTTCAAATGAACTGGGCGATCTTCTATGTGGTATTGGCGATCATGTATACAAAATGCGTCATCAAACATGTAACAAAAAAAAACTAAAAGAAGAAATTATTTCATTTATATTTCTTCCATTATCAATATTTTTTAGATCTTCCCAAAGCAATTTTATTTAAAACGGTAGGAATGGAATTCAAGCAACAAACTGATGAAGCCGTAATCAATTATGATCAAACTCAAATTGAACGAATGCCATCAGCCGACATCATTCGTCTAAAACGAGCGCATAAATCAAAAGAAATGTAATTTTGTTAACATATATTTTTCAATTCACGCTATTTTCTTTTTCTTTATTAAGATCGATTATTGTTCCTAATGATTATGATTTAGCAACAACTTATACAAAATCTGTTGAAGAAATGAAACAAAAGAATCAGGTATAAGATATTGATATTAAATGAATTTTATATTCTTTACTTTTTACCTGATAGGAATTGGAAAAACTTGAAAAACGTGATCAAGAAATTAATCAAATTGCTGATGGAAAACTCCTGCGTACAAAAAAATATAAAATATCATCAAAAATTCGTCAACGCGCATTTAACGAATATATGAAAATGTATTTGAAAGAGCCACATACTATTGTACGTATGTTAGCTTTTTGTATATATCGATACTCTTTACCCAAATCCTAGTGAAAAATTTACTTAAATCGTACTAAGATCTTAGAAAAATCTTGTTAAGATCTTAGTAAGATTTCGCTTACATTTGTCTAAGATCTTAAACAAATCTTACTAAGATCGTGAGACCCGAAAATTCTAAGATTTGATAAGATCTTACTAAGATTGTACTGTCTAAGACTTTTTCAAGATTGGATAAGAATATATTAGGATCTTAATAACAAGAATGATAACGTTTTTTAAATAATGTTCATCCGAGATTCACTGAAAATTTTTCAAATTTTAATCCGCATTATCCAAGTTGAAGAATGAAGAGATATTTCATATTTTCAGGTGTCCAACTATGGACTTTGATCTGCATGTACACTCTCTAAAAAGTTGTTGAACACGTTCGAGAGAGCAAGTACCAGCAGAGTCAGGAAGAAAAATAAGCGTATAATCACTCATATTTTCGGTCACTTGTATAGATGAATGAGAGCAAAACAAAAGGGTGAATGAAAGCAGAATCATTGAATCTTATTAAGATCTTAAACGATAAGATCGTATCACTCTAAAAAAAAAGTCGTAGATTAATAAACTGCAATAAAAGAGTTTTTTGGACTAAAAAACTGATCAAAAAATCTAAAAGAGTTTTTTAACGGGTTTTTTAGGCCAAAAAACTAAAAAGCATTCGTGGTCGTTTCAAAATGAAAAACTCCACGTTTTTTGGGAGAGTTTTTTGAGTCTAAAAAACTCTTTAAAAAACCCTGTTCGTTTTTTCCTCGGTTTTTCAACAGGGATTTTTACTAGGAAAAATTCATAATATTACTTTTAGGTCATAAACGATGAAATATACAAATTAACTGAACAAGATTTATTTGATATGCCGATAGAAAGTTAGAATTTTTTATTCATATCGATGAGAGAATAGCAATGATTTATTTTTTATATCATTTTTTCTTTTTCGCTCTTAGAACCTGAAGTTTATCTACCCGAACAAGATAATGGCTTTTTTCCATCATTAAAAGAAGCACAACAAGATCCTATAAGTATTATGTATAAAAATCATGAAACTAAATTACAAGAAATACAAGCACATTATAACGTTGAAACAATAGATCAAAATCGAATATTAACTGATATTAGACAAAGTCCATACTTAAAACGTTCATTGGATGAAAAATATGAAATAAAAAAATTACTTAATCAAAATTTAGAACATATAACTTTACCAGAAAATCGACCAAAATATGGACCTGGTGCATTTGTTCCAAATTCTGTTCTAGTACGTCAAATTTGACTTCTAAAATCATAATAGTTTTATGTAAATCATTTCATAGGCAAAATTATTGTGGCCAAATAGAGAATTAATCAGACGTGAAAATGATTTAGAATGGCTTCCACCTGTATTATCCGATGAACAATTACATCTACTAGAGAAAAATCAAGTCACGGTAAGTTTGATATTTTTCTATTTAGTTTATTTTCTTTTTTTATATCAATCATACTGTACTCTAGAATTTAATTAAAAAAACGCAAGAAGCAATGAAACTCGAACCAGTTGTAAGATTTGTGTGCTCTTCTAAATTTGCACCATTTTTTTATGCACAATAAGTTTTTATACAAAAATTTGGATCTGTAGAGAAACACATACATACAAGTTGCACTCTATTTCATATATTGTTCTATATTAAATAGTAGACTTAGAGATTGGACTCAGTCTATATATATATATATATATATGAAGTTGATTAATTATGATTAGTTGTGGTTTAGGATGAAGACGAAGAATGGCGTGCACTAATTGAAGCGACAATGAAGAAAAAACTGGTAGAAGCAGGGGATGAAGATGATATTAGTGAAATATTAGAAAAAAAACAGAAAAAAAGTTCACATGAACCACAAAGTGAATTTTCAAAACAATTAAAAGAAGCTTTGAAACCAGCTGAAACGCCTCCACTAGCAGTTGATGTACCTGTAGATGTGAAAGTATATTTTAGACTGTTCACAAATAAGCGTTCAATTGATTGACATCATCTCATTTTAGGAAGATGAACAAAGTCATCCACAAAGAAGTGCTCGTAAAACACCACAACGATTGCCTATAATTAAAACTGTAACACCATTGAAAATACGGAAAAAGTCCAGAGAATATCAACCAACAACACCTGCGGTACATGTTGAAACACCTGCCGAGATTAGAGAACCAACACCACGCACTCCTCGAGTATTTGCGCCACCATTCACACATCTGTTTGAAAAATTAATGGAGTTGAACTGGTTTGATGAACAATATCCACTTGTTCAACCAAATGTGAGTTGTCATCTCTTTTCATTTTCAATAATTCGATTACAACTTTGTATATTTCGAAGGTATTTCTTGAAAATTGCGACGAAAATACATTTCCTATCGATGTTTTGCAACGTATTGATTTTGTTCAACCCGAAGAACATCGTTTCATAATTTTGCATGAATTAGAGCATTTATTTCAGAATTATCCATTTAGTCAACATATACGTGAATCGATAGTTGAGAAGATATTGGGACATCTAATGAAATATAATCCAATGAATTTTGCGAAAGACGATGTTGAATGTATAATTAGTTACATTCGAATGTTAACAGCAATGAATGTAATGAATATAGACGTTGTAACAGAATGGATGTATTGGTATCTCGATGGAGGAGAAAAAATTCGGTAAGATATAGTTAGGTTTGAAAACGAATTTTAAATATACATTATTGTTCATTTAGAGCTATTATTAAAGAATCATTTCAACAATGTGGATTAGATGACTCATTTGGCCATTTTTATAATGAAATGGCTTCTTGGAAATTATGGGAACTAGATGCTGATAAATCAAGAAGATTAGGAATAAAAACTCTTTGCTATGAATGGTTAAGACAGTATGTACACATAACATTTTATGAGTGAAGAAAATTTTTATTATTTATGTTTCTTGTAGATGGACTCGTGCATTTCGCACTCATCTTGAAGAGATGCATCTTAGACTTAAAAATGGCGATATTCATGTGAAAATTAGTAATGCTACGTCGAGAGCAATCAATGGAGATGTTTCTTTAACGGTACGTATTCAAATGAAAAATACAAACGAACTTTTCTGATCAGCAACCGTTGAAATTCAATTATTTTTGTTAAAAACTTATTATTTATGTTCTTAAGAATCGGGCTGCCAGTGGAAAACGTAATATTACGGTTACAATTAATACACTGCCACGTTTGAATCTCACAAATTTATCGGCAATTGAAATAATCAATTATTTTGTTGAAGTAACACAAGAACAAATTAATGACAGAAATCAACCACAACAAAAGCCAGATAATAATACAATATTAGTATTACCAAAAGTTATTAAGTATGTTGGATCATCTGCCTTTGAACCTTTACCACATACTTTCTGCTTATTTTAAATAGAAAGGCAGCTCTTGTTCGACTTGGTGAATCAAATACAGACTTTCATCGACCAACAAAACGGAATCGTAATGTTTTCTCAATCATTCTTACCTAAAATACCCTTATATTTATTTTTTTATTTTAGCTATTTTTCTTCCACATGAGCATCGATATGAACCAGGTCAATTAGAAATGGGACGTTATATGAATTATCCGGTAAAAAAACTTCATCTTAATCCATTTCGGAGACAACTCATTCCTGCTGAAGAAGAGGAAGACGATGATGATATTTATAATGACTCAGTTCTACTGACATTGAAATTAGCACCGAAATTCTTTTTACCAATTCTGTCACAAATAGCTAAATAAAATCTTTATTTTTATTGAGTTTTTTAATTTTTATATTTGTTCTTTGATATTCAACGAATTTATATTATAACCTATGTCGTCTATTTTTATAAAAAACCATCGGTTAACTGCGGTTCTTCAAATAATCGCTAATTGACCGTGGTTCTCTATAAACCATCAATTAATCACAGTTAATCACCGGTATTTTCGATACCACAGTTTGAAAAATTAATCTCCAATTTACCGCGTTATTTCGGAGAACCGACGGTTAATTGTTTCTTTTTCAATCACTGTTTTGTTTTATGGTCACTATATGTATATAAGGATATGATTTATCAAAAAACTTCAGAATTTTTTCCATGACTTCTTGAAGTGTGAACTTCGACTTAGTCTAAATATCTTTCAGACTGTGTCTAAGAGTCCTGGTAAGCAGATAGGTACTGCTCAGTTCAAAATTTCACCGGTATGGAACTGTGATTAACTGACAGTTTTACTGCTGTGGAACATATAAAAATTCAATACTCAAATGAAAAATGTTTAGAGAAGGATTTGTACTGATATCGCTTGCTCGGCAAAAAACATGTCAACGAACCGTGGCTAACCGAGCATTTTGTGCCAGTTCGCGGTTAATTGGCGATTTTTTGCCGATTTGATAAACATGGGAATACTCTCTAGATAATCGGCATCAGTCGTATAGATAAACGTTTTCAAGTCAGGCTCAAACAACTAACCTATCACTGAACGATCTGTTTTTAGTTTTAATATTCAAACTAGAAAAGTGTACGTTTGCTCAAGCAACATATAACTCTAAGCAATTCGCTTATCTGATTGCATTGTAGAATAAAGGTCAAGTACCCAATCTAGTTGGTTCGAAATAAATAAATAAAATGGAAAACATAATGAGAGTACATCCACTGTAAGCTTTAGACAATAGTAACTATCCAATTTCTCACTCACTCATTTCCCATCGGTAAATTCTAGTATATAAAACGACGTGCACACCCGTAAAAATCGTACAACGGCGTGTGAACACACGTGAAAAGAAATTCTCACTGTTGCATGTGAACGCGTGTGAAATTATAGAAAATTCACACGTGACCACACATTTGATGGTGCAACTGCACGACCCCAACGTCGTGAAACTTCGACAAAATTTCTGTTAATTTATAGAATTTCCGTTAAGATCAACAAAGATGATGTTATAAGGACGACATCTTGCTTCCCAATGTTCAGACTTTTTTAAGACAACAAAATGGCGTTATTCAACCAATGAGCTTAATGCTATGGGACAAAAGCATTTGATTGATAGACTGATTGATTTTATTAATAGTTGTGAGGAAGACCGAAAGTATTTTTTTTAATATACATTTTTTACCAGTTTTCTCTTCTAGAATCTATGCAAGTTTGGTCATATTTACATATCAGCAGTGTTTCTATTGTTATGAGTAACTTCTCTTTTTAAGATATGTCTCTTGATTTACCGGAATGCACATCCGTTGTCGTTCAAAACAATGTACAGGCAATTCAACCATCGTCAGAGTATTTCGTTATACCAACGCATTCGTCTCCGATAATCGATTCAACTATAGAAAACATTCGAATCTTACATGATGAATCATTTCAATCCTCCTCAACATCGAATTCAAAGGGTAGTAGTAGCAATAGTAAATCATCATCGTCATCTGCAAAAATGTTTCATAGAATTCATCAAGCCAGTGATTTCAATTCGCCACTTATGTTTTCACGATGTACATCGATTGATACATTATCGAGTTATGGAATTCAATCTATTAACGAATCGTATACATCAGAGTGTAGTAGTGTAAAACCATCCGGAATTATCTCACCATCAGACTTACCAGCTTCACCAGGAGAAGAAAGTCCAACACACGGTAATACAAACGCAACGTTAATGAATCATACAGCAAATTATACAATTATTGAAAAAACTATTCTTATTCAGAATTGTTCACGCGAGGAAAGTTTTTGTAGCTATGCCGATATGGATAATCCAGATGAGGTTAAATTATTTAAATGCGAAGATTCAGAAATGCATAGCAGACGACCATTGAATGCTGATGTAATGGATAATGATGAAGAAGCGAGAGAAGAATATTCTATAAAAGAATCTAATAATTTTTTTATTAACAATGACAATTCAACAACTCAAACACCAATACAAGATAATATGCGATATATAGTACGTATTTCATCGATTTTTATGCAAAAGTTTGATAGACAGGATCAGCTTTGAACAAAAAATTTGACAACTCTGGTGAATGTTTTATTATTAGATAGCTATTGTCTCAATAAATAATATACATATGATTTTGTTGTATGGATAAAACTGAAATGATTCACCAAAAACACTATGTAATAAACTCTTTTTTTCTTTATTAGCCAACATTATTATGTGCAAGAATAGATAACCCAAATGGTTTTGATACATCTCCATACGATAATATAGTCAATGACGATAGTTTTCGTGTTTACAATACACAATGCGACGATGATTTTGATGATTCAACGTCCCTTAGTAATGATTTAGCAATGTTGTTGAATAAAACAGATGAACAATTATTTCACTTACATCCACATCATGATTTAAGTATAATTAAAGAAGAAAGTAGTATGATTGACGATAAACCAAATATAGAGAAGAACAGCAATGAAGAAGACGAGAATAGTATCCACGACAGCATACAAATTTTGTACAATTTGATAAAAAAACCACATTGGACTAGAATATCCTCATCACCACCACAATTGCCTGACAGGGTATGAATTGTATTTGTTTATCACATGACAGAAATTTAAATATGTTGACTAAACGTCACGTAAAATAAATCTTAAAAGAATAAGACAGGAAAAATGTCTTTAAGTAGCTTTATTTTGTATTAATCGTTTTTACCAAATTATCTATTTTTGTACTTTAGACGCGTGCTCTATCTCCATCTGAAGATGAAGTCGACACAGATAAATATACTTTAAACGAAGAAGATGATTACGACTATAATTTGATTGAATTATCATCACAAATGATCCAGAATGATCAGAAGCGTTCTTTTTCAAATGATTCTGTTCAGTCGAATTTGTCTACATCTCATCAACGGAAAAAACGTTGTAATAAAAATGAAAGTGAAAGAACACATCTGGCTGCATCGTTTAAAACCGATTATAAACAAGGCAATGAGAATGATCCAGAACTAGAACAGGACGATGAATATTGCAGTGATGAAAACGATGATTATGATGTTAAAAAAGGTCAGGAACTTATACGAGCGTTTATACGTGATACGTTATCAAAAAAATCATCGAATCAAAATCATTCGTCTGAGTCTATACAAGAACCAGAAACGATTTGTTGTCCACTGAACACACCTTTAACAACGTCAAATTCAAGTAGTAATGCGTCATCAACAAAATCCTGTTCCTTTTTGTCCGCATCAAGACAGAAAACAACTTATAAAGAACAGGAAAATTCTAATTATTATCGTAGCAAAAGTACACCGGCTCTTACAAAACCCAGATGGAACAGAGACACATACCGATCAAAACAGGATATTTGCAAGGTAGCATGTCCTTCTGTTAGCCTTCGCAGTTTCTTGTTGTTCATGTTTTTTCATGCTGTTTTGAATTTAGGATCATATCACCCAATCCGAGCATTCATCATCTACGAACATTATTCAAGTCCATCAAACTCGCACATCAGAACTTCGACTTCGTCAAGCACAACAAAAGCAGCAACGACAACAGCAACGTAATTAATCCTCTCATTATCTTTCTGCTTCAGTCAGATATTTGTTTTTTATTTTCCATTTACATACTGCTAACGTATTTTCTTTGTCAGATGAATATTGCCTTGTTTTTTAAATTTGTTTTTATTATAAATAAATTGTTTTCTTTCAATACACAATCAAAGAGTCTTATTTTACTCAACTTTTTGTTCTTACTCAAAAGCCTTTTTGATGAAGAATGTTTTTCAGATAAATGTTTTCTCGTGCACGATCTAAAACTTCCGTTTTCGAGCACGTATCTCTTTTTACATATATAAGTTTTTGTATACTATTTTTTTTTGTAAACATTATTTGTTCAAATAAAATTTGAAAATAGTCTTGATGGTGAGATAATTAAAGATAATATATGTGTTACAATACAAGACTTTTCAAGAAAACAGGATGTAGACATAACTAACTGTTTCAGCAGATTTCGATTGTCATTTTAAGAATCGTGAGATGGAAAATACTAGCTGCGTCAGTCGTTCAAGTTGATACTTGGAGATTTTTGATGAATCTCTCTCGAGTTTGTTTGAATATTTCGTCCAAGTACTTGGTTACTTGATAAGTACTTCAAAAAATTGGCAGTTATTGTTATCTTAATTACTCACTTGTCGTGTACATTCACAAGTGCTTCTCTAAGATTGAAATACTTGGTTTTATTGTAACGAAGTTCTGTGCGAGAATACTGATCAAGTAAAATATCAAGTACGTGCAAGTGCAGATTTGAAATCACAAGTGAATTTACTACTGAAAAAGGGCCAAGTACCGGCTTCATTACGTGAATGAAGTACTTATCTCAAGTATATTCACTAGGATCTGTTCTAAACCAGCGGAGTAAGACTACTCTAGTAAGTGCATTATTGTGCAAGCACTTAGACAAGTACTTGGGAAAGTAATGTCCAGGATACCTGAAGTTTTTTGCCAGTAAAAAAAGTGCTTATCAAGTAAATTAACAAATACAGGTACTTGATAATTACCTGTAAATAAAGTATTTAACGCGAAACTTCATAAATACTTGCGAATGTATGCAAGCAACCAAAGTTCTTTCAAGCACCCGGTACATATCAAATCTAGATATATTCGACAAGTGCTTAAGTACTTTTGAAAATTTTCAAGTAACTTAGTGCTTGGTCACAAGTACATTCACTAGGGTATACATCATCCCAGTTGTCACTATAAGCAACGTGTTTCTCTACTTACAATTAGAAAGCTGCTGTTTCTAAAAACGTATTGAGCAGCTTAGCGTTGTTCAAGACTAACGGAGAAAACACTATTCTGTCTAGTGTCTTAGAAAAGTGCCTGAGTTTTGAGAAACACGAGTGTTGTAATCGATCTTAAAACTGCAGCATTCAGACGCTTTGACAGTGGCACTAATGTCGCTGTATGAAACTCTGTATCCAAATAGTCGCATGAAGGCATTGAGAGAGAAATGTTTTTATTTTAAAAAACTCTGTTAAAATAGCATAGTTCTGTAGTGAATAGATAGTATTTGAAATTAACAATAAGATACATAGTGTATGGTAATTGGTTGAACGAATCAGCCATACTATCTATATTCATTTGTTTTGTTTGTTTGCTTGCTTATGTTTGCACTGAATTAAAGTCTAGTAATAAGCTGTTAGTTTTTTTGTTTCTTTCTTTTGTTTCTGATCCCTGACTTTTCATTATTTGGTTTTTATATGGTCAACTGAAAAGAGTAACAACGAGAAAATGTGTGGTTGTACATATGTCAGATAAAAGTCGGTCACAGTGGTTGTCTGGAAACTTGATGGATTATAGTTTGTAATAAAACCTAACAAAATAAAATGGTAACTTGTGCACTTAACACATTAGTTCGTAAGAATACATTCTTCTTTTTTAAGATTGCAATGCCACACGCTTCGTCAAAAACAAAGGAAATTAACAGCAATTATTCCAAACAACAATATTATACTACACCAACATCTGCTTTTTCTTCCTCATCGTCATCAGCATCCTCCACTACGACAGCAACAACTAAACCACAAGAACAACAATCAAACTCTGAAAACGAACCTGATTTTCTCATTGGCTATGGTGCCTTCGGCGTTATATGGTTAGTTTTGGTTTTATTAGTTTATCAAAACCATCGTGTTCATGTTGGTGTTTGTATCTTTAGGGCTGTCACAGATCCACGTACATCTCGACGAGTTGCGCTGAAAAAAATGCCAAATGTATTTCAATCAGTTATTGCAGCCAGACGGGCATTTCGAGAAATAAAAATGCTTTGCACATTTAGACATGATAACGTATGTTGCTCCTTTACGGTTTATATTTCTTGATAGTTTTTTCAGTATTTACGATACAAAGTCTGAATGAAGAAGAGTTGTTGCTGACTAATAGAAATTTTCGGAATTCTGTGGTGAAAAATTTTGTCAGTATAGAAAGTGCACCCCTTTCGCCTCACAGAAATAGCTTGTTTTTGGATGTAAGCATCAAAATGCGAAAAGTGCTTATTTTCTCCTAAGGCAACACCGATATGGAAAGAGATGATAGATGCGTGACTCTTCAAACAAGGCACTAGTATTTCTGCTCTACAGAGTATTTAGCTGCTCGAAAAAAGCATTTGATTTACATTTCTTTTTTCTATTTCTCTGGTTATATTTCTAGATATTACAAGCAGTTGATATATTACAGCCGCCTGGAGAAGTCGATATGTTTAACGAAGTGTATGAAATACGCTTATTGTATATCTGATGTTTACAAATGTTTTGTATGTTTGCTTTTTTCAGCTATATATTGACCGAATTGATGCAAATCGATTTACACAAAATAATTGTTTCGCAACAAAGTTTATCATCTGATCATTGTAAAGTGTTTCTGTATCAAATTCTCAGAGGTACCTGGTTGTCACTGTTATTGTCATCATCTGTTAAGCGAGTATGTCTTATTTTAGGTCTAAAATTTTTGCATTCTGCTGGCGTAATTCATCGTGACTTAAAACCAGGCAACTTGTTAGTGAATAGTGATTGTTTGTTAAAAGTAAGTTCTGTTTTAGCACATTTTTTTTATGAAGGCTGTGTTCGATTGTTTAAAACTACTGAAAAATCGATTCTACTGAGTAAATTGAAGAATGAATTGTTTTATTGTGTGTACTGATGTCTTTTTAAGATATGTGATTTTGGCTTGGCCCGTACAGAGGAACTTGATAAACAAAAATGTATGACGCAAGAAGTGGTTACTCAATATTATCGCGCTCCCGAATTATTATTGGGTAAATGTTTTTTTTTCTCCTGTTGTTCACATTACATTATTTGTAAATTATGTTTTCATTTTAGGTGCGCATCATTATTCTTACGGTATGTGAAGTTCTTTTGCTTTTTCACAAAAACTATTAGAATTTTGAATTATTTGTTTTATTTTCTCTTTTAGCGATCGATGTGTGGAGTGTAAGTATCGTTGCGGATAGTTTTAATAATTGAAAAAACGACATATATGAAAGATCCTTCATTCTAGGTTGGATGCATATTTGCCGAGTTGCTTGGTAGAAGAATATTATTTCAAGCATCATCGCCTCTAAAACAGGTAGTTTAAACAATAAAAGGACTTGTATGCTAAAATTTTAAAGATAGAAATGTAGTAGAGTCAAAAAATACAATCATAAAATTTACCTTATGTTTAGGTTGAACTTATTATTAATCTGCTGGGTACACCGTCCATTGATGAAGTAAGAATGTTCTATAATTTCTCAACTCATTAATTATAAAAGAAATTTTTTCTTGCTCGATTATCTAGATATCGACAGCGTGTGATGGAGCAAAATCCTTCATGTTATCGAAGACATGGCGTGCAGCGAAAATAAATTCTTTACTCTCATTATCAAAAAATGTTACTGGTGATGCTGCACAATTGCTCTCCCGCATGTTAACATGGGATCCGAGAAAACGAATATCAACTAGTCAAGCACTTGGTATGAAGTACAAAAAAAGATTCAACGTAAAAACAATTTTTGTTTTTATATTTCTAGAACAATCTTATATTCATGAGGGACGAATACGTTATCATAGTTGTATGTGTCGGTGTTGTTATTCAACTCAACAAAGAAGACAATATACGATCAATTTAGAACCTGTTCGAGGTTTTCGTTACGATGATTCAGATGAAAATTTTTCTAATATGAGACAAGCAAAAGGTAAAGATTACTTTTCGTCCACTGAAATTCTCTAAAGTTGATTAAATAATACAATTGTAGAACGTGTTAATTTGTAAAACTGCATTTTTTGCTCGCATTTCTATTATGAGTAGTGAAATGTGTTTTCTTTTCATTTTGCAGAATATATGCATAAATTATTAACCGAATTTAGTCAAGCAAATACTGTGCCATTAAGACTTAATCATGATTCTCCATTATACAAATCATTTGCTACGTAAGTTCTTGTTTTAACTAAATTTCTCTAGTAAAAAAATTAACTTTAATTTTGTCTTTAGATCTCAAGTTGCTCAAGCACATGAATTGCCTCCTTCACCAGTTGCTTGGGATAAATTGTAGCTGTAAACGAATCAAATCTTTTTTTTCCTATTATTTGTGCTCATCTTTTACTGTATCATATACGTAATCTCATACTCTTTTTATGTTTTTGATATGTATCTTAATCATCCAATGCATTTTCTTCTTACTTTTGTTTCAAACAAGTATATGGTTTATCGGCCTGTGGTTATGATTTTGTTCTCTTTTCCTGTGTACAACACAACTCTTTTTTTTCTATACTTCTCTCAGGATGTCATGTTCCTCAAAGCAGGAACTCTAGCTTTCAGACATTTTTTTTGTCGGATAAAAGGTTGAGAAGGTATAAAAACATTGGAATATTTTGATTTAGTTATTTTGTCGGCGTGTGCATTTATCTGTGTGTTTTATTTTACATCTGCCAATTATCCTATCTAGTGCTCTACATTTTTGTTTTTGTTTTTTTTTGTTACACTCAGGTGCTTAAAGTAACATCGGGCTAAGTCATACCGGTTTTACTTACTCTTTTTCGCTCAAACACTTATACTATATACATATGTCTTCTGTCAGATTCTTTTAACCTTTATTTGCATGAATGTGTACGTGTTGGTTTTTTTTACCTATGTAATAAGACTGAGAGACAGAATAAGCTCATTGAACAGATAATGATGTCTTTTTTTTATATATTTTTACTAAATTGATTTTGTGAGCCGATCTACTTTGCTATTGGCTCAAGATTTCTTTTCGTGCTTAGCACATAACTGGAAATGGGACTGTGTTTTGTTTTATTCAGATATGAAATAGTAAATGTAGCCAAACATAAAACATATGGCTTTCATACGTACAATGAATCTTATAATGTTCTGCTGCGCGGGATCATCTGTCTCTAAAAACTCATACTTCTTCATTTTATGACAATATTGTCAGATTTCTATTCATCTATGTAAATGTTTTCTCGTTTTTTGTTGTCATGTCATGTTCGTGTGTCAGATACAACTTTTATCTGCTGTTTTTTTTTTTCTGTGTGTGTGTGTGTGTGTGTGCGACGCAATAAATGATAGTAGAGTAGTTACAATGGGCATGTAAAAAATGCTTTTTAAATAATAACTTAGATGATGTTCCCTAATTTCATTTGCTCAATCCTTCTATACTATCAGGAGAGTTGTAGTCTCTCTTTTTCTTTCTATTCTTATTTATTCACCTCAGAGATGTTGTTATTGTTTGTCTTGTACGTAGAATGACTAATAATATGCTTTAAGGATTTAAATAATTGATTTATTGTGCTTTGTTTACTCTTTTCTTCATCTGATTCAATTTTCACATTGCTTTTTCTTATCGAACATGTGCGCATTTCTTATATAAAACTTAGATTTGTTGTTATTTGATTTTTCATAGATCATCACACATATATAATCTTTTTGTTTGTTTTATTTCTGATAATATTATATAAAAATAAAAATAGAAAAATATAATAACGATTTAATCTTATTTGACTTTTTATCCCCATTACATAGTCTAGATGCATACTATTATTTATGTTGATTTATTCAAGTACATTAGAAAATATATTAGAAAAAGACATTTTAAATTAAAAAAATGAGTTTCATAATTCATAATTAGATTTAGTATCATGATTTCAATAAACAACTACAATGGCTTTATCTTGAAATGGTTTCATATTTGATACGGTTAATAAATCTTTCTTTGGATGTTTGATATAGTAGTTGGAATAGAAGTTGTGAATGGGCGCATTTACCTAAAACAAAACAAATATTTTTAGAAATAGAAATTCATAGCGTTAAATGTCAACGCGTAAACATAAATATCTCTTATCTTTCTGATAATATGTAACAAAAGAAAGTGGTAAAATATAGAAATAATTTCACATTGATAAATATTAGTGAGCAATTAGGCAAATTCAGGAAGTTATTGAGTTTTCTTTGAGAGTAAGGCGTTCTGAGTACGAATGCTATAGATTCTGAACAGGATTACATTTTCACATGAAACTGTCTTAAGATATGAATGATCTGTGATGTAGATATCCATAGTATATATATATTTAGGATAAGTCTTCTATACAAATCTTTACTCTCTATTAAGTCTTTTATTTTCCTTTTGTTTAGTTAACCAGTCTTTATTTTCGTCTAAAAGGTTTATCGTATTGTATGCAACAACGCGAGTTGTTTTTTTAACTTATATACAAAAAACAAACAATCACACCATTTTTCAATTAAAAAAAAAATAGAAAAATAATTTGCACTTGATTTAGATTACTACTGCATCTAAATATGAGACTTATTTTTTTTGTACTTAGCACTGTTCAAAAATGCATCATATTTAAGAATTAACGAAGATTGCTTCTCACTGTGAAATGCAATTGAATTTAGTGTCAAATACAATAGTTATTGCGTGTATGATTATAAGCTTTTATTTTTTTCTTAGGTAAATTGTGCATTTTTCAGTTAATATAAAAGTGTAAATATATAATATATTTCCTTTTTTTATACGGTGCTGTGGAAAAGATAGCTGTAGATATTTTATAATCTGACAAATGAAACGAATATTTCCACATATAAATCACATGTTAGATGTTAACAAAAACGACAATTTTATTATATTTGAAGCGAAAGTTATGAAAATAAATGAGATGTTATTTGTTCATTTAAGACTAACCAAAATTGTATTCACATCGGAAATTAGTCTTTTACTCTCGGATTTTTTCAGTAAAGACAGTGGCTCATGTTGAAGCATTACACTAAAAACAAATTAGAAAAAATGTCTGAAAATTTCTTTGACTTTTAAAGATATCAGTTAAATTTCAGTGTAGAAGAGACTCACGATAATGAATCTTCAAAGTTGACCATAGAATCGGTCGGTCTTTCATGTAAAGCACTTTTCATACTAACATTTGCATTCTAAAATGAAAATTGACAATATTATTGAGTTTTAGAAGAAGTCGAAACTCACAATAAGATGAGCGTTCATCTGACCACTTCCGTGTCCAGTAGGATCAAAACGAATTTCTCTTAAACTTTTTTTAAGATAGACATCACTGAAAAAAGTTAATATTGTGTATAATTAAATTTTCTATATAGTAAATATTAAGCGCATACATATCTTTTTTCAGATGTGTTACAAAATGTTGATATTTCTGTTCTTCTTTCTGTTGAGGATCAATAGGTTTTCGTCGTGAACGTCTTCTTTTGGGTGGAGGATACAACGGCGGTTTATGAGTTGGAAGAACATTCGCATTGTACTCCCAACGAGTTGTAATTTTCGGTAGAACATCTGACCATATTGGTGGATTTGAATTTGGATTTATCCATCTCGGTGGTACTAGAAAAAGTGATAAAAATAGAATAAATTAGAAGATAGAGTAAATATTTACCATATCCATGTGTTCGTCCAATCCATCTTCGTGGAGGTAAAGGAATTGAATATTTTGCCGATTTGACAGGTGATTGTCTTCTTGACTTTGATGATTCCTTTTTGGAAACTTTTTCATCAGTCAATCTAGAAAGGATGATTCATCACAATTGCTTTTAAATATCGCTTAAAAAAAGTGATTTCTTACTCATCTGAATATTTTTCATTTGTATCACCGCTGTCAGTTTTCATATTTTCATCTTCACTAAATTTTAGTATTGATGATATGTTTGAAACGACGTTACTTCCTGATTGATTAGAATTTGTCATCCACCTTTGAAAAAATTGTAATTAATTAAAAGTAGCATAAGTAGTACAACCCATTCACAGCATACAGATATACACCGATACAATCTAATAGTATCGTTGATCGAGATAGACACAAATTCGATATGGTTAAATTTAGTTTAAAACCTTCGTAATCTACCTAATTTAATAATGAAGTGTTTATTTAAATATTATCAAGAAGTTTATCAGTTAAGAGTATATAATGACAGGACTTTGTGCTGTAAAATAAATATTAAGAAGTTTATCATTGTATATTTTATTATCATATTTTTATCTTTCATTGCCGTTTAGAGTATAGACTACTTCTTTCTGACTACGTTCGCCAAGAGATAATTGAATAGAACTTTACTTTTGTACTAATTATTCAGCGATCATTTTTTTTTTAAAACATTAACCGTAAGAGTTCTTTTTTCATTCGAGATTAAAACTTTATATCGTATGTTTAAAACTTACTTGACTTGGATCTTTTCTATTTGAGAAACTGACACTGTATAATCGAAAAATTATTTTTATATATTAACGAATTTAATCAGTTATAGATTTATAATTCTTTTACAGAGAACATAGTCAAAAAAAGTTTTACCTCTGAATAAAATATTAAGTATAAAACAATTTTGTTTCTTTTTGAAAAGTGTTCATTTAATATATTTACATACGTTACTTTTGTTTCAAATAAATACATCATACTCTTTCTTTGTGCATACTTCTTAAAATCCTATTAAAACACTCGTCTGTTAATTTAAATCTTTTAGATGATTGTTTTTTCTCATTATATGTTGATGTAAAAGATAATGGAGATTAATCAATCAATAGATGCACAATTATAGATGCAGTTTTGATCAGAGATGGCAGAAGGCATAAAAATAGGGTGGGGTCGGTCACCTCAATAGCGTACAAAAAATAATCGAAAGTGGTACGTAGAATATCAAATCCTTTAAAAATAAAGTATACACACAAAACTCTACAGATAATTGAACAGAGTTAAATTAAAATTTAAATAATATGTGACTCGAGTCACATTTGTTTAAAGCCTCTGATTTGACTTGACTCGAAAATTGAGTGACATTGACTCAACTGTTTGACTTGAGTCATTTATTCAAAAAAATTTTCATTTGCTCTTATAAAAAAATTACAATTTCTAAGATTAAATTTTTACTTATTCATAACTTTCATCCTAATTGAATATATTGCATCAGAATGATTTTTTTGTACATAAAAACTAAGAACTAGATATCGTGTCATGAAAAAATTGTTGTATAACATTGTTTATAAAAATAAACAGAAAACGAAAAAATGGCAAAAATAACTTCGACTCGATTCGACTCGGAAGTACTAGTAGTTCGACTTGACTCGAAAGTGCTACGAAATGATTCGGATTCGACTCAAAAAGTGACTTGACTCGTCCGGCCCTGATATTTGATGTCTGTTTTTTGTTTGTATATAAAAAAAATAGTTTTAGATGATCAGTATAATTTGCTTAAAACGAACAAACAATACCACTAATCATAATACATATATTACACTATGATAACTGTACTTCCACGTTTTCGCATTACACCATATGGACGAAACTATCGTGTTGAAGAAGAAGACGATGGACATAAAAGCAAAGAGGTATGAATAAGATTTATTCTGTTGTTATCTAAAATGCTTAATGTTATACTAGAATCTTATTTTTATTTTTAGACATTTAGTACGGATTTTACAATGAAATTCTTAAATGATGGTGAAACAGATATGGAGAATAATATCACAGATAATAATTCTTATATTATATTATCTGATACAAATAAAGCCGATTGGGATCGAGGTGTTCAAGTACCATCAGATATAAAAGATATTCCAGTATCAAAATATCGTATTATACCTTTATTAACCAATACACCAATGATAAAAGTGTAAATTAAAATAAATTGATCAATTTACAGTCAAATTTATTTCAATTTTTATTTAGAGCTCGATCTTATATAAATTCTCAAAATGAATGTCAAATATCCAGTGATAAAGCGTGTCATTATGATGACTATGATATGGATGAAATGGATTGTATTTGGCTTATGAATTATAATAACTTTAGAATTAATAAAAGTAAAAATGAATTCATCCACTCATTTATTTTCTATTTTATCAAAATATATTCTTTAATTATAGATTTACCTGTTTTGGACGAAAATGTGTTTGAATATATAATTGAATTATTAGAGCGACAATGTTTAAATGCAATTCGACAATTGAATGATGAAGACGCAATATATTGTGATGTTTGTCGATTGGTTAGATTAGCTAATGAAATTTTTTTCTGCTTACCTATATTGTTTTTGCGTATTTTAGATTGATGATGTAAATGATCTTGTATTATGTACCAAATGTGATTTAGTAGTACATGCGGTAAAAAAAATTCAATTTTTTTTTTTTCTCGAATCCTAAATTCTACAGTATTTGTAGGGTTGTTATGGAAAAACGATAACTGATCATCAGACTATTGATCAACAACAACAGTGGTTATGTCAACCTTGTCGTCTTTCACTTCAACCACAATGTATATTCTGTCCAAAAACAGGCGGTGCACTAAAATTATCAACGTGAGTACACAATTTAGATGTGATTGTAGCATAATATCAAACATTTTTTTGCTTCTTTTTAGTGATAAGACACATTTGGTTCATTTAACGTGTGCTTTTTGGTTACCTGAAATTCATTTCGATGAATATTTGAATCCAATACTACCTGAGACACAGGTGATAACATTTGATGATGGAAAATAAACTTAAAATTGGCATTTTTCTTTTGTTAGCATAGTCAACGTGTTAACGATCCATGTTCACTTTGTACACAAACAAGTGGAAGAAAAATTCAATGTTGTCAAAAAAAATGTCGACGTCTATTTCATGTATCGTGTTCATTGTTAGCTGCACAAGAAATGCTTATTGCAGAAAATGAAGATGATTCAAATGATGTTCGATTGATTGTATGAGATATAATGTTGATCACAATTTTCGTGCTTTAAAGTTTGATTCTGTGTTTTCAGGCATTTTGTACATTTCACAGTCGAAAACCTGATATTGAAGAACGAAAACGAAGACGAGAAAAAGCTTTATGTAAACAAAAAAATCGGTAACGTTTAGTTTATCATTATTCAACGTATATTTTTATTTGATCAATCTACTTTATTGTTAGATTTGAATTATTCGAGAATTATATTGATATTCATCAAATAAAACGGCAAACTGAAATATTACCTGATATCATTGATAGTGTACATACATATTGGAAACTAAAACGAAAGGTAATACTTAAGTTTTTATGTACCATTTCGAAGTAATCTGTAAATTTTATTTTTAGTCGAATAATTATCAACCACTTTTCTTTTTACCTCAAGCATATTATCATAGTTATTGTGAAGGAGCAATTGATTTAGATTCATTTAAAGAACATTATCGTCGTGAAAAAGAAGAGCAACAATTACCAACTATCTCAAATGATATTGAAGAGGATGAAACAAACATGTTGGTAATTTTGGAAAATCTTAATGCGGCATCACCATCATCGACGAATCATACGGAAAAATTGACACCACCAATAACAACTACGATTACATCGACGATGAGTAAAAGTCATTTTGCAGAATTAGCTTGTAAAGAACGGATGGAATTTCTTAATTTTGAACGATCATTGTTTCTAACAATTGAAGCAGAAACCCGTCAAATACGAGGACGACATTCAGCAAAAGTAAATGGGAAAAAACGAGTGTCTTAGCGGAACATTTTTTTTGAAGATTAATTATTTCTGTCAGATATTTTTCTACTACTAGTCCTACTTTTTTTTTTTATCATCGTCTCAACGATATACTGAAAATCTATAATGAATAAACATAGCAAAAAAATGTGGTTAAATCGAGGCCCATGGTTGTATGCCCATTAGAAAAAAAAGGAGATTAATCAAAAAAATCCATTAAGAAAAAATGAGTCTACATTAAAGAAAATAAATGAAATTTTGAAATTTTACAGAAACGAAGATTGAGTGAGATAAATAACCTATCTACGAACTGTCTACTTCGAAGAATAACTCGGATCATGTTGCCACTAACGCTGCGAGTAGCATAGGTTAACTGCGTATTCATTGGTATTAGTTCCTTTAGATAACTAGCTCTAGTTATAAATAAAGCATTGATGTAAATATAACATTCCGAGCAGTCTGAATTCAACACAATAGAAAGATAAAACATGATCTTTTGCGAAGATATCCAGTTTATGCTTTCCAGTCTTGATCAGACTAGAAGTCAGAGCTGGGCAAGTCAAGTCAAAAACACGTTAAGTTCAAGTTAAGTCAATTCTGGCTTGACTTGTGATTTGCAAAATCTGACTTGCCCAGCTCTGGAAGAGGTAGACTAACTGTATACTATAACTTTGTATATACCGTCAAACAATTCAGCATGATAAAGACGACAAATATTTAAATGTTCATATTATCGTGAAAAGCAGTTGGCATTAATGGTGAAAAAAGGACGTGAGCGATTATCTTATGAAATCGGCTAACGCCTGAATTTCATCGACTAATCAAAGCCTAGATGCAGAATGACGAGGAGAATATTTCTAGGTGCTTACTAGACCTTAGAACTACTCTCAGAAAAAAATTAGTCCGCCCACTACAATAAATATACCATTTCATAGAGAATTTGTCAAGCTACAATTTGATATATATAATATAGAAAAAAGCCATAGGGCAGCTTGACATTAGAAATGTTTCTGAAAAGCTAGAATTCTGCTCGTAATTCTTAATTTTCTCTATCAGAACTCACTGTTTATGCGATAAAAATATCATGTTTGGAATCAGGATCGAAAACTGAGTCGACTTATGTGTATTTCGAAAGTTTTATTTGATTTTCATTATTGTGATGAAAGTCTCGATAATTTTTCAACGTGAAGATTTGGCAAAAACTAAAACAGTCGGATAGGATGAAAATTCACGATGCCCTATGACGCTTTTTTCTCTATATTATATATATCAAATTGTAGCTCGACAAATTCTCTATGGAACGGTATATTTATTGTAGTGGCCAGATGAGAAATGTTGATATAGAATATCTGAGACTTTTTGCACGTAGGAGATCATTTTCCATAGCCAGCAGTATTTCTAAACATACTTGACCCCAGAACGACTATTTCCGCATATGTAATATACAGAAATATAGCGAAGAACAAGAGCTTCCGAATGACATATAATAGCTGTGAGGGATTGCGGAACTGAGAGAGAAAGATCCAAAAATACGATCTATAATATATATCAGTAGAAATTTAATCAAATTTGATTCAACCAATTTTTTTCTGAGAGTAGTTAGTTCTAAGGTCTAGTAAGCACCTAGAAATATTCTCCTCTTCATTCTGCATCTAGGCTTTGATTAGTCGATGAAAACATATTCTATAATTTTTTAATTGAGTTTTAAGATGAAAATTCGTTCTTCGTAATTAAAAAGACTTATTTGAGTGGATCTAACAATAGCATTTTCCAATCTATGTTGTGGGCAAAAGGAGCAAAAATAAAATCACAATGAAGCAGCTGAAATAGACTAGTTTTTAAGTTTTAAAGTGAACTGATTTTGAGTGACTGTGACTTTTTGAGTGAGGATTTCTCAGTTTTGTATCAGAATGGTCTAAATAAGTTTTCACTATTTTATTATTATTTTTTTTTATAATTTATTTTCATAATTTGGTGAGAGGTTGATGCTAAAATTGCTGAATAAAACTAAATTTACGAAAAATATAGAACTGCTGTCTATTTCAAGCTTTCTTTGTTGGGTGTGAAGACACCATACAAATGGTTTGAGAATTACTTGTCAGATCGTGTGCAGAGGAGTCGAATATGCGGATCGTTTTCAGAAACAGTGGAATCACACAAGGATTTATTTTGGATCCTTTACTGTTCTGATCTTTATAGAAAAAATATCGGCCGTCATGGAATGACAGAAAATGGAACGCTACTTTCGGTGCTGTGTAAAGATGTTCAAAACTCAGCTCATCCTTACAGTTTGAAGAAATGTGATCTATAGAAAAATTATAGCCTAGACTTTGGGTTGTCTATGGAAAAAAATAGAATTTCAAATCTATGTTTCGTTTTCGAA